TAGAGAAAGCCAGGTAGGAGCAGCATGAAGGAAATAGATGGCCAAGACATGGTTTAGAGGCTGTGGACGGAGTCACAGTGGGTTTATAAAGAAGATTCCCCTCGCATGGACGCAAAAACAATGAGCAGCAGAGTCGCACCTTCCTTGGCCTTTGCACCTTCCCTACTTTACCCGTTTTTATATTGGAAACACCCAAGTATAACCAGTTAACATGAAGGTATATAATAGACTCCTTTGGAGACTACCAAGAATAAAAATCAAAACGAGCCCAGTGATGACTCTGTTAAGTAATGTTTGAAGAAGTAATGTGTATGACGTCATTGACGGGAGATCTTAAAAACTGCGGCCATGGGCCATTTTTATACTCGTTAACATCAAGTACCATCAAGGAATTCACAGTCTGGCTCGAGAATAAATGACCTTACTTGATTCTTGGTTATAATAGTCTGATATAGTCTCTCTATTAATTCAATTACATTAAATGTATAGAAAAGTGAAGTATCATGACATATCCCAATTAATCCATTAATTATCTCATATATTCCAATCCTGCTCTATCCAGCAGCGATATTCCTCCTCTCGAATTGATCAAAATTAATACACTATCGTGTGTATTTCGAAACATTCCCTCAAACCAGAGGGTGTTGTTTCTTCATTCGAAAATTCACATCTTAGTTCTTCTTGGCAGCGGAAGTAGCCAAGCTGGTGCTGCTGGCAACACCGGAAGAGGAGGGAGTAGCGGCCAAGGGGCCAATCTTCCAGGTGCCACAAGGGCTAGTGGGGGCAGTGAGGCATCCACCGAGGTACTCGCCAAGGCTACCAGTCTGGTTGCGAGTGGACAAGATCTGGGCAGGGCCGTAGGCAGCCACAAGGGAAGTAGAGTTCGCGGCGAAGTAGGTCGAGTTGACGCGGCTACCAATCAAGGCAGAGTGGGCGCTGTGCTCGGCAGCCAGACGAGCCAAGAGGAAAGAGACCTCGGGGGACTCGGAGTAGCCGGCGAGACCGATGAAGGCACCGGTGACGGTATCCTCGAAGCGGTAGGCCCACTGGGCCCAGGCCTGAGTGCTGCTAACCTCGGGGTAGGTGTAGGTGCAGGTGGGCTTGGAGAAGCCGGGTGCCTTGGCACCGACCTTCTCGATGGCGGCGCTAGATAGAGTGTTGTCCTTCTCGAGGCCGAAGAGGACCTTCTGGTACGCTAGAAGAGTAGCGTTGTTGGAGTTTCCGAAGGTGCTGTTCACGGTGGAGTTGTAGAAGCCGCCGATGAAGTCGGAGACACCCAGAGCGAATTGGAGGACCTTGGTATCAGAAGATGTGGGCGAGCAGGTTGAGGATGAGCCTGCTGCGGAGGTGCTGGTGGCGGCGGAGGTGGCAGTGGCTCCGGCCAGGAGGAGGCTGACGATGTTGAAACGCATAGCTCTTGGAGTTATCTCGGAAGAGTTATCGTGTTGGAGAGTTGAGAGAAATTGTGTTAAGATAGAGAAGAGATGCTACGGCTACAGGTAGTTAAATACCTTTTAAACTTATAGAACCGCGCAATCTTTCAAGTCATCTCTAGACATCATCATCCCAGCGACGCATGCGGTAGGCTTCGAGTACGTTATACCAAGTAGACTTTATGAATAACCGGTAGTCTCCTCTCCATTGGCGTCATGGACCACAGTATAAACCTTTGAGCGTGGGGTGTCGTGGAATCGACATTGGCATGTTCTGCTGGCATGACGTCGACCACTTGACCACTTCAATTTTGGAGGCGACTAGACTTGATATAAAACTCTGTCGAGGTTAAAGATTCGAAGATTCAAGATTCTTGCTAAGTGGGTTCCGGATCGTCGGGAGACCCGGTATACCCCGATGACTTGGATCATGGCGTCGTGGATGTGAAAACTTTATTAAATGTTGCATAATAATTAGATTCTTACAATATTACTCTCCAGGCGTTTCTAGATTTACAAATACTACTACTCATTGTCTATGAATATTCGAAGGAAATGTGAAAGTGGTGATGGTAGTTAGTAGATAGAGTAATATATATCTAACATTCGGATGCTGGCGGATCGTCGATGCTAACATCAAAATTTAACTTTTAAGGCAAATCACGGAATTTCTTATGAATTTCTTAATCATGAAATCACAAATTGAGCATAATTTAAAAATAGTCTTGAATATAAACGGGAGTCTGCTCAAACGGAACGGGAAGAATCGGTAGACGATGAAGTATATCAATTTGTATAAGTAGCCTATGTAGCGATCCCAACCCTCCTTTGTCCCACCAAAAAAGCAGACGTTAATCATCAGCATAAATGTGCAACAACACTCGCCTATATACATTTCATATAATGCGCGACTATACATACCCCACTAAACAAGCAACTAAGTCCCGTACACAAGATGATAAGCCCATATCCACTACCATATCCCGCTACCGCAGAATCCGACACTGGACCAAATATAGCCTCACTCAAGGGACCGCTAACAACGTTTCCAACTCCACGCCCAAAGGCAATAACTCCGAAGATGATAGTTGCGTCTGCAGACGGATCAACTCGTCGGATCTCGTGGGTCACTCCAGCCCATGTCGCAGAGTAACACCCTGCGAATAATCCGTACGCGACAGAAAAGACAAGCAACGTGGGCAAGCTCGTTGAGAATCCCCACAGGAAAAACACAGCCAGCGTACTACCGACTGTTGAGATGGTAATGCAGGTGATAGCATGATATCGGTCTGCCAGATGGCCCATGGTAACGCTGCCGAAAACCGACGCCAGATTCAACAGCGTGACGGACAACGAGGAGAGGAAATCCGTAGCGCCAATGCTGCGGGCGTAGGATGGCAAATAAATGCCGGGCAAGAAAAATCCCAGTGCCTCTATAATGTTTCCGAGTTGATAGAAGCAAAATATCCTGGTGGTAAGGAAGCGGAAGTTCAGACGCTGGTAGTCGACAGTTCTTTTAACTGGGAGACGTGGTCGGTGGAAGTATATGAAGGGAGCTGCGAGAAGGAATACTATCACGGAAATGACCCTGAGAGTAGTTTCGAATCCGTACCGACCCAATAGCTTCTCGAGGCCAATTGGGAATATTATCCCGGATACCCCTGACCCCGCCCAGGTTATGCCGAACGCGAGTCCTCGTCGGTTGACGAACCACTCATCCATATACAGGATGGATGGACTGTAGGCAATACAGCCGCCGATTCCGAAACCGACTCCTTGGGAGAGCACGAGGTGAGTGACATTGGTGGAAAATGAGCCCAAAGCAAGAGAAAGGCACATCATGGTCAGTCCTACTGATGAGAACCAGCGGCCCCATCCAGGGAGGAGGATCATAGCAATAATGACCAGTGGGCAGCTCAAATAGGATATTCCCTGTGGATGGTGTTAGAAAGAAACAAACTGTTGCAAGGGAATTCGGTGTTCTCACTGTAGCACATGTTCCGATAACAGCTACCATGCTAGAGTCCTGGAAAGCTTCATGGTCGTGATAGTATTTCTGGAAGACTCCGAATGAAAAAGCAAATCCTGGTCTTAGTTAGTGAACTGTCACCTTGTAGTCACGCGAGCAGACTCACCCCATATCAAAGCTTCGATCATAACACAAGCTGCCAGAAACATCCACGCGTGGAATCCGCCGTCGACGGGTGCTAATTTCGGTCCATCATCGGCAGACGATTCATCGAACTTTTCGGGGCACAAGCGGATCTGAGCTTCACTGCGAGGTAGTGAGTCACTGCAAGAAGGGCGTCTTCTGTCCATATTGATGATGTTGAATTCAGATGGTCAGACTAGAGAAAGACGTTGAGATAAAAGCAAGTCCTAACGGTGAATGTGTCCATTTTAACTGCATCTATATTAAGCAATAAGGTCACATTGTTTCATCAAGGAGGCCTAGCGTCTGAAGGGATGGGAAGAACTCTTGGTGGAGATCAGGCGGGTGTTGGAAGGAATTTCCCTACGTAGACATTAAGGCTGGCATGCAACCTCAACGACCGAGCGGCATATTATACACTTGTGTATCTACTTCAAACATCGGAGGTAGCTCAAGAGTAACCATATCGCCGATTTCGCAATCAGGCTGGGAATCTGATGTTTCCGATCTAACATATATGTAAATTCATAAGAGCACTGTGACAAACTTGTCGTACTGGGGTATGATATTGAGCCCCTGCGTTGAAGCCTCAAAGAAAACAACGTTTTTAAAAGGCCGAAACTGACGTGCTTTGCGTGGGGAATAGAGAGATCCCCCGGCCTGCGACGGAGGATTGTAGCATAAATAACGGCTAGGGACGGATGTGCGAAGGGATTGGAATGTACAGTATGATCATCGCCAAATGAAGATAAAGACGTCGGAGACTTGTGCCAATGTATGTCCTATGATATCACCCATAAAGCTCCGAACTGCAGATCACTAAACAACCCCCTTGCTCGGTACAACTCCGCGCAGTGCCACGTTAGACGGAGCATGAGCTAGGAGGCTTGGTGATTGTAATCAAGGGGGTATACAAGCGCCAATCATCTCGTCTAGGATGTGACATAGCACGTAAGAAGTATAGATAACAACATGCCAATATATGAGGCCTGTGAGTCCTTCTTATGGTCTGTGGCAAATCTTGTATCGCTCAAGTTTGCTGTCGTCACACTATAGATGATCTTGAGACCAGATTTGGCCACTGCAGGATTCTAATGACATGTGGTATTTAGCATAGACCTTTATACATGTTTCCGAAAACTCTTGGTTCAATTTCCATGTGACAGATGATCCTGACCTACTTCAGACCACTGAAGAGCAACAAAACTGTTTCTCGGAGTTCGTTGTAGCTAATTTACCTTTTTAAGTCTACAGAGAAGACTTTCAGATATTACGTTCACCTGCATTACTAGGAGACCAAAAAGCTAGTTCTAATCTACAAAACACCTGGAGAGATGTACGAGTATGGTTTAACCTCCAACAAGTGCATAAAAATGTGGGTGGAAGATCAGTTCCTTACTCCAAGCGATACCCCTTCAGTTGGCGAGCCAAATATTCTGATCCGTGCCATATCCAAACGGAATCCAGGAATCATTAAAGTACCTCTGTAGCACAGTTTGGGTGTAATTCATATCATCAACACAGTATCCACCACCCCCAGGACCGATATGCGAACAATGCACGTCGGGCCGGTACTGCACCATATGCTCATGAACCTCACGACACAGCAATGTGTTACGCCCGAGCTCGTGGGCCTTTCCAAAGCGTAGAGTCTTAGTCAAAAAGTCATAGCAAGTTGGGGTGTCTGTATATTGCTGGTTCGAACCCGTGCAATACTTTTCATGTGTATCACAGATGGTCGTGGCCAGTAAATCAGCAACATAGGCAACAGCCTGGTCAGGCTCAGTCGCATTTATTTTGGTTGCGACTCCTTCGACCAGGAAGTCCAGTAGATACTCGAACCAGCGGAATGTGGCATCGTACTGTGCGATCTTCCCGTCGGTGTTGAACTTGATCCATGTGTCGATTGTCACTGGGATAAGGACACCGAAACTGGTTGCGTTGAAGGTGACGACCGTTGTCGCGGATGCGATGTTGTCATTGGCGGTAAATTGAGTGATGTTATATGCGATCGGGATACCGACTAGACTGACGTGGTCTGGGTCAGCGAATAAGCCGAAGATATATTCGCGGTTTAACTCATCGCCGTCAAAGGTGCGGGTAATGTCGACACGGCCTTGTACCTGTCTTGTGTTAGAGAATTGAAAATAGGACACGGTAAAGCCTGGGGATAAACTGACGTCTGAAGCGAAAATAGTCGATTCATTGCCTTGGGTCTGTTTGAGGTTTGCAGGGTAGAGAAACGAATCCCAAAAGCCCTTCTCGAGTTTCCAGAGCTGGTCAAATGTGAAGGCTTCTTTTGGATTCTCCGATGAATCCTTAGACTCGACCGAAGCGAACAAGCATGCCGATATGATTCCAAGCAAAAGGGTCCACTGCCCAGATTGAAGATGCATGATAATTATTTCACAGTAGCGTGTCTTGGTACTTGGATGGAAAAGAGCGTGTTGTTATGAGGAATCTAACTAGCATTCCTCTCTCGATGAGAGGCATGTCAATTTTGATATTGGGAGTACCACCCCAAATATCGCCTGTCTAATGATAAGAAAACCAAAATCATTATAGTGCAGTATAATAAAAGGGCTTGAATCTAATTTTAAAAACAAACTACCAATTCAAATCCAAATTAGCTTGAGGGTTCTCACAGTGGCATATTTGTATTGGGCTGGCTCCCAGCCTCCTTGCACGCGGTTGCAGCCTCTCATTCCAAGCCAGAAAGTTGATTGAAAGCCAATCCCGAAAAAGCTAAACCAAATTGTTGAAACACGCCGTGGGTCTCGCCTAGAAATCACAAGAAGTCAAGCCGGGAGATGACTAGTAAAACGTTGAATGAAAGTAGACAGTCCCTGTGAGAACTTCAAACGGGTCCAGGTAAAGAGAAGTATATAACCAGTTGTTAAACACAAATAAATAAACCAAATCCACACTATAGACGCATTTTTAAAAAGATTATGAAACAAACCTACCGAATACCCAAACCTACAGACCATCCAACATATCCTGCAGCTGCCAAGCAACAGACGCCTCACTCTGCGGGTCATTCACCAGAGACCTACTCAGCTCAATTAAAGTCTTCTCAATGAAATCGCAGACTCGAGGGAAAGTACTCTGGAAGTACCCAGGGTGTCTGCTAGCGACCAATGGATGATTCGGGAAATATACTGAGATATCCGACGCTAGCATTTTGATCTTGCGCAATGATAGGGCAGTCGTAGCAAGTCTCTGGCTCACTATATGTTGATAGCCCGGGTGGTTGATTAGAACGTCAATCTGGTATACGAGTTCTGCTCGGAGCCCATTGGTCTCTTGTGCGAAGATTGGTACGAGGTTTTCGAGCCAGTAGGGTGAAGAGCTGTCCCACCACGCCATTGTTGTTGAGTGATTGTGGAGTAGGTAGAATCCGAATGTTAATAATGGTTGTTTGCTACTCCGGGAAGGATTGACGAGGTGTTATTTATATATGTTGGGCTAGCATATATCAAACAGAGCATTTAATACTACAGTAATTGGCAGTGAAAGAAACATCACTCACAAAGCTCACTGTTTGGTTTCTTTGTTGTCTTACCAGCTCCTGTCTCGAGTGACGAAGTGACAACAACCAAATGGTAGTGTATCTTACGAATAAAGACATATGAGTCCCAACAAAGAGAATTTACTTTCCATATTCTTAGACCCGAAGCTTCGTATTGAGATAAGTCGTTTCCGAACAGGAGATATGTACACGTCAAAGGATAAGGGTATACTACTGACCGACAGTAAACTGTCCGTCCTCACGAATATCCCGGCTAGAGGCTCCAGCATAGACAGTGAAGGTACCACTAGGCAAAACCCACTTCTGGGTTTGCACATCCCAGTAGCTCAAGTCACGCCGAGTGAGCTCGAAAGTAGCCGTCCCCGACTCTCCCGGTTGGAGATTCAACTTCTGGAACCCTCGCAACTGCTTGGGCGGAGTACTTGGAGCAGACTCCGGAAGACCAAGATAGAGCTGAGCAACCTCAGCGCCAGCTACGTCGCCAGTGTTCTGGACAGTGACCGAGATAGTTCCGACCGACTCGAAAAGATCCTCCGCCCCGCCAGGGACAATGCGTCCATTGGATGCTCCAGGTGTGGCAAAGATGCTAACGGCAAGTCCGACGTAGTCGAAGGTCGTGTACGACAAGCCGTAACCAAACTCGTAACGCGGGGTGATACCGTTCTTGTCGAAGTGGCGGTAATCAACGAACAAGTCCTCGACGAAATTGTCGTCTAGCGCACTGTTCCAGCCAGCCCCGTAGTCTGAAAACTGCTTGGCAATCGTGTAGGGCAGCTTGCCGTTTGGAGAGGTGCTGCCGTACAGGACATCGACTAGGGCGTTTCCGCTTTCCTGGCCTGGTAGCCCGGCCCAGACAATTGCCTTCACTGAGGGCTGCGCTAGGATGGTCTCCAGGATAACCGGCCCCACACTGTGCACGACTACGACGACATTTTTGTTCACTGCCGCGACGGACTTGACGAGCTCGTTTCCATTGTGCCAAGGGTCGAGATTGTTCCTGTCGCCAACGTTCCCCTCTACTGTAATGTAACTGGGCGGGGTGTTAGTGGTTCCAAATATATTATAGGTGTGGTGATGCAAGTCTGACTGACCCTTCGCCGCTGTCTGAATTGATGAAAACCACGGCCGTCTCTGCCGCTGCGGCAGCGGAAGCAGCAGCCGTAGTGCTGTCGGTCGTACTCTCGATAATTTTCGTACCATCCTTTTGGGCCTGGACTTGGATTGCATTAAGAGGACCAACAAGATACTAGAGGGAAATTGTCAGTTCATCGGGTTTGCTGTTGCTGGAATTAGCTTGCTTACAGGGAACTCCGATGTGCCGCTTCCCCACCCCATAGCTAGCGTGCCGTTGTTGCAGCCGCGATCTGTGCATGCATTGGGACCGTCGGGGTCGACGATAGCATCCTGCCCAATGATGGCCAGGCTTTTGGGTTGCCGGAGAGGCAAAATCTGTTCCTCATTCTTCAATAGAACAATTGAATCACGGGCAACGGTACGGACGACAGTGGCATGGTCTCCCGTGACGTCAACAGTAGCTTTGCCGCCATTCCAAGAGCTGAACGTCACCTCAGGATACCCTTGATCCTGATCAAGAAGATACCAAGCTGCCAGGATGCGCGTTGCCATATCATCCAGACGCGCTTGGGGCACAGAGCCATTAGCAACGGCCTGCACAAGATTCGGTCCCCAGAATATGCTGCCAGGCGGCTTGTTGAAGTCACTGCCGGGCATCGTCATGTCGAGGCCAGCCAAGGCACTATTGACACCAGTGTGCTGCGCGTTCCAGTCGCTCATAATGTAGCCGGGGAAACCTAGCTCGTTTTTCATCAGATCGTTCAAGAGAGCGTTACTCTCACAGGCCCAGGTCTCGTTCAATTTGTTATAGGAGCACATGACAGATGCGACATTGGCCCTAACTGCATTCATGAACGGCCATACATATAGCTCATGCGTCGCGCGGTCGCCGATGTTAGAGCTCATGGTTTCACGGTTGTGCTCTTGCTCGTTCCCTAGCCAGTGCTTCATCATGGTCAGAACGGACGGGATGATCAGCGGAGTAGAGGCCAGCATACCTTGGCGCAGGCCTGGACGCCCGAATCTTGCATACCCTGGATTGTCTCTTCCATAGCAACGCCACTGAGATACGGATCAACCGAGAAGCCTTCCCAATTTCTACCGCCATCGGGATTCTTGCCTAGAGGTCCAGCGACTGGTCCTAGTTGGACGTGGACACCCAGACCTTTGGCTTCCTCGCCCATTGCAGCACCGCGTGCGTACAAGAGACTACGATCCCAAGTTGCTCCAGCGTTGATACCCGCAGGGAATGCTGTGACAGGGTTGGCAAAGCGAATTCCCAAGGGCGAATCCTGTAGACATAAAGAGGGATAGTCAATCGAGCTGGCGGCATAGGTGTTTCCCACGCAGGGCCCTCCTTCCCAACCGACACCAGAGGCAATCCCGACTTTTTCGGTCTGATTTAGCTTAAGAAGGGCTATCTGAGCCTTGGAGTAAGCCGCATCCCAGCCAGCAGCCCCTGAGCCATAGGCATCAGCAGCGACACTGAACGCCAGAGCGGAGAGAAGAAAGTTCTGCATAATGCCCTTTCCCGAGTATTCTCGCTTGTCAGACTTCGCCCTAGTCCGACGGCGCAGGCGTACCTTTTATAAAACCCCGCATAGGATTTTTGGGCTTAAATTCCCATGGCCTAAAATTTCCCCCTGGTCCCGGAGGCGGGCCAAGGTGCAGATTCGAACCCCATGACCAGAATGAAGGGGTTTCCGTCTGGCCAAGACATCACAAGGTAAGCTCCGCATGTACAGGAACACACGAGTGGTTGTATCGTCACAGCGAAATATGCATGTGAATAAAGTTGGTACACCAAAGGCGTCGGATCATCGGGGAACCTCCCTTTGATTGGCGAGGGAGACACGGAATGTGGAAAAAGGCAAGCTGGCTACGCTGGAGTATAGCCTAAACTTCTTCTTTTGACCACAGCTAGACTTGGCAGGTAATATGGGGGCTTTCCTCTGCAGATCTGAGCTGTCTGGGGAAATGTCCGTTACATAACACCACCCCGTCGCTGCAGGTTGCAGGATGCGGGGACGGGACCCCCGTGTACTCTGTATGGAATACAGGCGGGACAGTATCTCCTTGGACCCTTCGACATCTTTTGGCCAAATCATAGGAGCTTAGAAATCGAGCCAGGAGGGCGAAGCAGGGTTTGTATTAAGCTTGATAGGGATGAGAAGGATAAAACAAGGAGACAGAGAGAACCCCTCGATGCCTTGCTGCCTGAGACTAAGTAATGACATCTCAGGCACCAAATTCGATCCCACGATCGGCTCCCCGCATCTCCACAAGTGCCGGCAGATTCCCGAGGTCCCTATAAACAGTTCTTCATGCATGCACTCATGCAATCCAATAAATCACGAAAGCGATGATGGGAGAAGGAAGACACATTGGCACAAAAAAGGATCGCATCAAATTAGTCCTATCGGTAAAAATGGGTGTATGGGAAAGAACATCGATAGAATTCGACAAAGACAAAATATGGATTATTCACAGGTGCAGGGCAGTTTGTTGTGGCAATTAGGGCGTCGTGTCCAAGGCGAGTTATATAATAGCCAATCATCACCTGCAATAGCTCCCACATGAGAAGCAATCATTTGAGCACAGTTTAATTGCCCCGGGTTTTCACTTTATTACCGCAGACTCCATTTTCCACTCCTAGTTTCGGAGTTATCAAAGCGAAGATTCTCGCGACTAGTAAGGATTGTAGCTTGCAGGTGGGGTCGGCACTAACCCTCCGACTGGCCTATCACCGTGACAACAACGAAATGACTGGATAAATGGAGGATATTACAAGACTTGACAGGATGTGAGAGGATCAACACTAAAAGTTCAAAACAGCTGAAATCGGCATGAGAGAAGCGATAATGTAGGGTAATGAGAAGATTTGAATAAATAGATAAACAGCAGTTGCACAACCATCATTTTCAGATTGTATATTCAAATTCTCAAACAATGGCTCCATACTCGTTCCAACCCGTTACTATCAGTCATAACCCCGGCGAGAATGAGGCCACCACAGTGATCCTGAAGCTATGGTACAATAAGGCCGAACTTGAGCAAATAATCGAGAATCTGCCTCCGGGCTTGACAATTAACTGCTGGACAATTGTCCTTAGCAAACTCAAGGGTGTCGTTGGTATGGAAAATGTGGTTGTTGGCAAAGAATTGCACATCAACTGAATGGACCCGTTTTCAATGAATGCTGATGAGAAGAAAAGGCGCAGCAGCGCTTGCGCTGTGGGACCCACAACCGTGGAAGAAATCCAGAAGATTTTGGCGATTGCAAATGAGTACAAACTTCCTCTGTGGGCAGTTTCTCGGGGCAAGAATCTTGGGTATGGTGATCCTCACAAACGTGTGAAGGTAATTTGGGGTCTCTTGTCAACTGTTCCCGCGGTCTTTCAGGTCAATTTAATGAGCTTTCCTTTTTGTGTAGGGCTCTATTATCGTTGATCTCCAGAAAATGAACAAGATCCTTGACGTAAACAAGAAGTTTTCATACTATACGGTGGAGCCTGGTGTGACCTTTTTCCAGCTCTTCCAAGAGATCCAAGCACAGAAGAAGCATATTTGGTGTTCATCCCCCTCTTTGGGCTGGGGGATTGTGGTTCGAATTGCGCTCGATCGGGTGGGTCTTGAAATTGAAATAAAATGAATATCTTGTAGCTGACATTAGACAGGGTTGGGGATACACCCACAATGGCGATCACTCCAACCAAATTTGCGGCATTGAGGTGGTTCTCCCTGGCGGCACACTGGTCCGAACAGGCATGGGAGCACACGACAACTCGGTGAGTGGGCCCCTGTTTCGAGGTGGCTATGGTCCGACCTATGACTCTATGTTCAGCCAGTCCAACTTCGGCATTGTCACTAAAATGACAATCTGGGCATCCCCTGCCCCTGAGGGATTCATGCAAGTTCATCTCTCAGTCCCCGAGGAGCGTGATCTGGCACCGATGGTGGATATTTTACGCGAATTGCTTCTGCGGGAAAAGATTCAAAACCACCCTGTTATTGGAAATGTGATTCGCCAAATCAATAAACACGGCCTCCGCAAGGACTTTTGGAATGAGGATACTTCGATTCTATACCATCGAATTAAAGAGATCCAAAAGGACCTCAGATTGGGGTTCTGGGATGCCACATTTGCTCTATATGGGCCTAAGGAGATGATGGAGTATAACCTCAAGCAGATCCAAGAAGCATTCAAGCCAATCAAGGGCCATGTGTTGAAGGAAACTGCGCATTATCCTGAGCCCAGTCAGAAATACGTCAACGCCCTCGATGTCCCTTACGATCTGCAAACTGGAAATCCTGGCCTGCGCCCTATCCGGTCAATTGAATACCGCGGACTTGACGGGTAACCATGGTTCCAGCAGTGATATCGATTCCAACGCACAAAGTCCAATGAGTCTAACAGTACAACTCACAGTGGACACATTTCTTTCTCCCCAGTCCTACCCTCGGACGGAAAGGCAGCTCTTGACTTCCACTACAAAGCACAGAAGATATGTGAAAAGCACGGTTATGATTTCGTTGCGGGTCTGCACATGAACTTGCGGCACATGACATATATCAACATGATTCACTTCGACTGCAACTCGCAAAAGGACAAAGACTCTGCAAACGCCTTGTTCGTTGATATGGTTCGTGCTGCGCGGGAAACCGGCTATGGCGAGTACCGTGCACACATTGAACATATGGATCTGGTTGCCGAGCAGTATGACTATGGTGGTGGTGCTTTGATGCGCTTGAATGAGCGAATAAGGATACGTTAGATCCTAATGGGATTCTGAGCCCTGGAAAACAGGGTATTTGGCCCAGGCAGGTGGTTATGAGCAAGATATACCCCACCACACGGTTGGGGGTTATACAGATCAGGAACAACGAACACTTACAACGTACGACGGACACAGGAATGCTTAATATAAAAAAGTCCTGCCCAACTGGGGATCAATTCTTAGCGAAAGGGCTGCGGGGGATTAAGATCACAAGTCCGATAAAAGGTTTTCATCATATTCTATACTTTGCGGATATCCGTTTGTAAACGGAAATTTGCAACCCAATATCCCTCATTGAAAGGCTTCGAAGGAAACGTTGTAGTGGTATCTGGATTACAATGTCTCAATATCCCACCAAGAACCAAGAGTTTACAGGAGCAGAGCTACGAATCAAAATCTAACTACTTACCTCCACGGACACCAGTGAGGGTTCAGATAAAGAATATTCAAGTAAGTGAATAGCTAGCTACCTGAGCAGCCCTGAAAAGGAGCCGAAAGGAGCGGCGAGCCGCCCACACTCAAACCGTCGGCAGCTGTGGGCGCTAGCTGACCATCGAGATACTGATGACTGTTGTATTTTTTGACTTTGAAGTTTCCATTTATTTGGGTAGGGTTTAATATTGTGCACTGGCGATAGTATAGGAGCGATGGTATTGTCATAGGCTACCATAAATTTGCTCCCTCTTCAGAAGATGAACTTCATGCTCAGTCCCAAATCCTGCCGTCGAAAGCACTGCCATCTCTGGACCGTTTGCCGTCTCAACTAGCTCGCCGAATTGTATCTTTAGATCCTTCAGCACCGTGGAAACATTCTCCTCCCCGCCCAAACATCCACCCCGCACAATTCTATCGACTGTATCACTTCTCTGGGAAGTAGTGAAAAGTTGAAGAAACCCGCCATCCGTGGCGGGGACACCGTTGGATCTTAAAGCGTAAAAGCCAAAACCCATGGCGCATAGACCGCCCAAGAGCATTAAGCCGTATGGGAGAAATAGGTTGAGTGGGCGCGAAAAGGTGTAGATATTGCGAATCTCATTGCGTTTTTGATTTACCCTCGTTGTCCAGTTATTTGGTTGGTAGCTAATTATGGATAGGACCACGTCTTGGAGCATGGCGTTTATACTGGTTTCGTTTATCGTGAAGAGCCCGCCATTATTGACAGATATATTGGAAAATGAGGGCGATACCTGAACGTCAGAAAAATACTGAACGATTGGCAAAATAGTCATGAAATCATTGGTGCTATTATGGGAATATTTGTACGGGTTGATGTAGGTGCCGTTCGGTGGGAATGTGGTTGTAAAATTGTAATATTCGAAGCCGTCCGAGTCAGTGTAAGTACTATTAGAACCAAGGAACGCGCCACATGTAGCGTTAAATGTGCCTGAAATAGTTTTCATCACAGGAGTTATGATGCTGTAGAGGTTAGCATCTCTCAGGATAGGTGCGACGGCGGGATTGAAGGGTGTGTCGCTGAGTGGCGGATCACCCTCCTGGACACCAATGACTGAGGGTGGAGCAGATATTAGAGGTTTGATGGAAGCTTCATCGATATCGACCTCGAGAGACCTCACATTATCCTTGTAGGTCGTGTGGACAGTGTAATCAGCCCGTGATGGAATACAGGTCCAGTAGTGATTGATCGTGTCTATCTTCCATTGACCCATTGTCAAATCATCTACTTTGCTGAGCGGCCTGAATCCAAGGTTCTGGGGCGAGGAGGTAGATATTGTAATTTGACTGTCAAACGGCGGGTCCTTAATTTTAGGATCATCGAAAAAGTCATAGTCGATTGAAAATTGCTCAGTAGATGAATTGAAGATGGGGAAACTCTCGGCGTGGGGCCATTCAAGGTCATGATATAGTAGCGTGCTGGTATTCGTAGTCCCGGTACATTGAACATATGGGCCGGTGAAATACAGACTATAGGAGCAATTGGCTGAGCATGTTGATGAAGCATCTTCAACACGCTTTGCTAGAAGAGTCTGGTGAATCATGCCATGAAGTGCAGGCCTGAGATTGTAATCGAGGACGAGGCTAAGCCTCCACCGCGGAGATCCCTCCTCAGGAGGTCCACCTAGTATAGACGTTTGAAACAAAGACTTCTCCCAAATAAAGTCTAAGCTCATATCCCCGAACTATTTAAGGTCAGAAGGGAACGCCAGTATTTTGAAGCCAACTCACATCCGAGGCATTGAACGTAGGAACATCGGCGTTCAGAACAATAATTTCCTGGAGACTGGGCACTACAGTAATTGCACCTGGCGGGAAACTCATTGCAATAGAGGCCGACCAATAAGTTATAGCGACCATCACAAGAGGACGCGCCCTTTGGAAAACTGTTCTATCAAATAAGGATAAAGGGTTCGAGCGCAGGGTAAAGATGTGTTCGATAGTTAAGATCGCGAGGGGTTGGCGCCGAAGTATATACCATAGATATTGCGTGAAAGAAAGGCCCAGGCATAAATGAATCAGCAAGGTGAATGTGCTCGAAAAAATGACCGAGATGGTCGTCTCGTATGTCTGAGGGACTCGTGATTCGGGGCCTTCGGTGGGCGTATCCGTGAGCACCTGGTAGAAGATGGCATGCAGAGCAGCGACTAGAAATGCTGTTTAAATTTAAACTTTAGCTTGAAGCAATGATGATGGTATGGGTAAATTAAAGAAATCGTGATCACGGACCAAGTATAAATGATCCCACCATGAGGAGTGGTGTTTTAAGTCCGACGGACCATCGACTTTGAAGGGCCACATTTTCATATTCTGGAGGATTATGCATAATTAGAGGATATTCGAAGACATGAACCAGTATATAGCTCAAAATAGTAAAGTGGTCTAGATAGATGAATGCGAGGAACGGAGAGTGGGGGAGGAACCATAAGATAATACTTTAATATTTTCTCTTATTCAGGGTCTAGGTCCAAGTGCGTGCCTTTCGGGCACTCAGCCGCAGTCAAGCCCTTAGTTGGGAGGGTCCCACTGCCTGGAATATTATTCGACCCCTAAATCAACCTGGCTATGTACTTAAGCATAAGGTGGGGGCTACGTGGCTGTCAAGCTAGGACTACTTTAGGTAGAATTGTGCGAGTGCCCTGCATATCTCACATTTCTCTCCAAGCAGACCTCGAGACAACTAGAACGAAACATATTACCCATATAAAAATATCCCAAATCCAACTCAATTCAGATTCCAGGAGAACCGATGCAAGCAAAAATATGGAAATGAGCAGCTGATCTTATGTTGTACAAAACACGATTCGATAGAGCCATGAAGCATGTGTAAAAGAATCAAGATCAGGTATCTGATAATAATTAATAGCCTCTGAGAGTCTGCTGATCACCGTTCGTATCATGCAAGCCTTTCTGACTAGTCACAGCGCATGCACCATACTGTTTGCCCGGGCGAAAGTAGCAATACCTAGGCAATTACAACCGCGATTTCTCACGCTACCAAAGCCGACTAAACCAAGCTAAGACGGCACTAGAATGAATGTCACCTAATTAGGACAACCCATGGAACACTAAATCTATAAAAACCGGGAAGAGTCAATTTGGACGTGTTCATATTTTAAGGATATCTAAGAACGCTCAGCTGAAAGGGGTCAGTGCAGCGGTCGCTCAACAGAGTGTGATTATCACCCCGGCTCACCCCATTCCCACCCTAGTCGCGCGACGCTAAAGCGGCGCTCACCCTATTCTCACCCGGGCGGCACCCACCCGACTACTGACCGTAGTTTAGCCACACGCCAGTGACCACCAGCGAATCCATACTGTTGTATGTGATTTTTCTTTTTTTTATTCGTTAGGAATGGGAATAATGATTAGCGTATTTGAAGCTATAGAAAGAAATTGTCAAATACATTGAATATCTATATATTTATCCTTTATACAGGGTAACTCAAAGAGCCCATGCCAAGTTCCACCAATTCGGACTCCAAACTCGAGAATTCCGGACAGAATAGATTAAAGTCTGGTGTGGGAACAAAGAGGGGCTCAGGAAGCTGTGAGTCACAAGTCGCATAACGACAGCTGCGCTCATCGACCACATCGACATTTTGGGGAGGTTCGAAATGTTGTGTCGACGGAGAAGAGTATTGACTGCCGGAGACCCACATACGCTTTAGTAGACCTGCGAAACGACTAGCAATATGGCTATCACTAATAGCAGCTTCTTCGAGTGCCTGGATATATTGCTGCACTAAGTAAGCGATTTCGGCATACTCCGTACTCAGGAGGGCACCAAAGACGTTTGCTTTGTATAGAAATACAGCGGAGTAGACGGTATATCTAACTCAGGGATTAGCCAATCTCTACATAAAGCCCCAAATTATCAGGTTGAATCACGAAACGTACACGTAAAATCGGAATGGCATATAGCAAATCTGTGCTTCAGAGTTCGTCTGGACAGCTATTGCCAGAATTTTCCGAGCGGCATCTATTGACTCGAGAATATATGAGCCCTCTGCAGTCGACATGATGCCCTGTGGGAATAGCGAGGTGACACCATTCCTCCCTAGTGTGGTCGGAACTGGTTCTCTCCGGCAGGGCTGCACAGCTCCAGAAAGAAGCGACTGAAAAGAGAATGCATTCGCGTACAAACGGACATATTCCTTGAATATGTGCATTGTGCAGTTCAGCTTTGGAGATGCCTCAAGACTATTCCAACGTCCTTCCCACGCGGAGATGGAGTGTCGGAAATCGTCTAGATAGCGATTATAGTCTCCTCGTCGGACCATCTGGGCTCTTCGTTCTTTGGATGCGTATAATGTATCGTGCACGTTGTGGAGGATTTGAGTGAGCTCGATAGTGGCTTGTAATACGTGTGCGTATTTATGCTCTGCGTCTGCTCTGAGCTGTAAACTTGGAAAGTCTTCTGCTGTGAAGTTTGTGGAGAGAGATGGCCCACGCGACCAGAAAGACTGTCCCATTCGGACAGAGATTTGACGATCAGATATATAAACAACTGTTAGGGTAGTTTAGTCGCTAGGCAAGCTAGTAGAATTTATCGGACCTACATATCCATGCTAGGAGCTTTCGATTGGCTAGCTCCTGAGTCTCCCCAATCGCCGTCTCCCGGAATGATGCCTTGTCCAGACGGAGTAGATAGGAATGTCTCACTGCCTGCCCAATAAGTGACCAGGCCATATTATCCTCGACGGCACTCAAGTTCATAGAGAACATGTTGGGATAGGAACCTGTCTGCAGCTGCATATAAGGAACCCACTCCGCGAGGAGCAAGAGGCCCTCGACCGAGCCTACTCTGAGAGTCGAGGGTGTAGCGAGGAGTACATCTAGCAAATGTCGTTTTAAGTAATTCCAGCAATGTTGGTGAACCTCTCTGTACGTGATCTCGTCTTTAGATGCGATTGTCAGAATGACTGTCAAGAGGAAAGGCTCTTCTACTGCTGTTTTGCGCGGATCTATTGTTGCCAGAACTTTTCTAGGCGCGAGCGGACAGAAAGTATGGTAGCTTGACGCATAACTAAACCGGTCAGACTTATTATACTCGCGTGGGAGGAAGATTTCATACTGCTGGACTAGATGATTGGCAGTATCTGTGCCTAGCACGCCGATCACCAAGGTCTCCGTTTCGGAAAGTGTCGAATGCAATATTGGAGGTTGTATGAGATTCATTGGACCACTCCCTGCGAATGGTGTCAATGTAGATGTTCTATCCGAGGAACAGGCCCCTGTGAAGGGATCCGTGATCATGGAGTTGGCCGGCTTATTAGGAACCTGGGCGTCGTTCGCCGCAAGTCGGGCAAGGATCTGGAGTGCGTCGCCCGGATTAGTCAACTCGGCGTGGATAGGATCTTCATCACCTTCCATCGGCTCTCTAATATGTCGATCGGTCGGGCTGCGTTCCATTCTAGCTCCGCTAAGAGATGGCGTAGAATTTTGCTTCTGTCGTGACCGTCGAAATCTAGAGAAGTCGCCCCCGCGCCGTGATCCGGCAAGAATACATTCATCACCGGCACGGGTACACTGCAAACATGCGGATAATTTCTTGTCAGACAAGCTTGTCCTCGGAGAATGTTAGAGAGAAGACATCTTGCAGGGTAAAATATGAACTCACTGATCACATTTCAGCTTCCGCTGGCGACAGCGCTCGCATGCGCGGTAGACACGAACGTTTTTACTGCGAGTCATAGTGTATCATATATGAGCAATGGTCAAGCGAATAATTTCACGGAGTAAGAAATCTCTCCGAAAAGTTGGTCTGTGGAAGTTCACCCCCGCTTGCAAGAGCGGTTCAGTACTCGGCAATAGACGGGATCGGAATGCGGAGTCTGGGGTAGTGTACTTTTCAGGACCCACTAAAACAGCCCTCCAGATTGGCGTTAGCCGCGATCAAATCATTAGGGCAGGGGGGCCAAAAGAATTGGGGGTAGCTTCGAATGAAGAGTATATATGTACCCATGTGCAGAAAATTACTATAAGCATGCTAACTTACTCTAACCATACGACAGGAGTGCCTGGCTAAGGCGAACATGTATTCATTCATACTCCTAAACTAAGCGGAATTTGTGTACCAATGTTACAATACCTAGTTGATACATGGTTGAATACCCGAATACCCGTACTACGACACTGGCATTAAACCATACCATACGAACGGGTATATTACAAGTTAGTCATCATGCCCGGACCTCGGGAGAGTCCATAGATTACATACCATTGAGTTCCACAGAGCCCATACCTAGGTAAATGGATGGGCCCGAACCCCAGGCCCAAAGCCTAACCTAACCCACAGCCCCTCAATGGGGACACATAAGGCCCCTATTAAAACCCATTGAAAGGGGTTCTACCGGCATCTTGTAATCGCTATACAATATTGTATTCTATCCCTTTTACTAGTCGTATAAATTCAAATCTAGTATTAATAGCTATATAGTTTAATTATAAAGAAAATTCGACTACTAGAGGTCAAGATAGTACAAAAAATGGTTGTTTTACTACTGAACATATATTTAGAATCGAGGTTGAAGTACTACTACTTTCTAAGCGAACTTCTAAAATTTATAGATTATCTAAAGAACGCGCTTCCTGGCGTTTTTAGGCATGATATAGAGAGATAACTAGCCATTAATTCTAAACCATTTAAATCAATAAAATATTAACTTTAGAATAAGGCCTATAACGAGGGTAAACGAAGGGTAATTTAAAAAACCCTAAAAGGGGGTTGGTTCAACTTAATTGTCGGTATATTTGTACTGTTTTGGGCTAATTTGGGGGCCCATTAACCCGCAGTGGGCTTCTACTTAGGACCATAGCCCATTTGTGGGTTGGGTTGGGCTGGGCTGTGGGCTTTATGGCTTTGCGGAGCTCTACATACCATACATTGTCGTATAGCTGGATTTTTGTCTAAATACTAATAATACACTCCACTGCACGTTGATGAAACAAGAGGGTTATTTGATCGAAAAAAAAATCTAATTACCAAGATTATTTGAAGATGTGCACGACTTGAGTATTACAGTACTCAAGAAATCCGGTAGAACCCCATTCGCCCCCAAGTCCGCTCTCCTTGTGTCCCGACAGCATCGCTCGTGGCGTCGTTTTCGCCCAGGAATTCACAAATACGCTCCCGGCCTGCATCAGCCGGCCAACTCGCTCCGCGCGAGCAACATCGGCACTCCATACGGAAGCTCCAAGCCCAGAGTTAGTTCCGTTCGCCCAGGCGATGACATCCGCCTCATCGGTCCACTTAAGGACCGGCACGATTGGACCTAATTTCAATAACATTAGCAAATGCGATCATTTCCACGCGGTGCAGACGTACCAAACTGCTCTTCAAGCACGATTCGAGATTTAGGAGGTGGGTTGTCGACGATACTAGGTGAGAGGTAGAATCCATTGCCAGAGGCCATGGGTTGCGGTGGAAGCGCAAACTTGTAACCTTGGGCTTCGCTGTCGGCGATCAATTCCTTGACCTTCTCGTACTGCATCTTGTTCTGCATGGGACCCATTGTAGTACTGGGATTTCCCGCTTTGCCAACCACCATCTGAGAAGCTGCTTCCACCATGGCTTCAAGGAATGCATCATAAATTCTCTCGTGCACATAAACTCTCTTCGTAGCGACACAGACTTGACCGGAGAATACGAAGCAGCCTTGTACAACTTCCGGGGCTATCTTCTTTATATCCGCATCCGGATAAATGATAGCCGGGTCATTGCCTCCCCTGAATATTGAATGATATAAGATGAAAATTCTTCCTGGGTCTTTCGGAGGTGTATACTTACAATTCTAGAGTCACACGCTTCAATGTGCCAGCCGCCGATGCCATGATCTTTTTTCCAGTGGCACTCGAACCCGTGAACGTGATCTTGTTCACATGGGGATGGTTGACTAGTTCCGAACCAATAGAGTCATTGCCACCGATAGCCTGAACGACACCGGGAGGGAAGATCTGCTGTGCCTGCTCGACCATCTTGAGTGCCGAGTAAGGCGTAAACGGAGATGGTTTGACGATGATGGTGCATCCGGTCAGCAAGGCAGGCAAGATCTTTCCGACAGACAGCACGAGAGGGAAGTTCCATGGGCAAATAGCAGCGACGACTCCGACAGGAACATGGCGGGTAGTCTGGATGCGTATCTCATCCTCAAGTCGCTCTTCCGGCATGCAAAGTTGCAGATTGTGATCAAACAGAGCCAGTACCTCGTTCGCCTCACCGGACGCCACAGCACGTGGCTTTCCGCACTCTGCCATGAGCAGCTGGGTGAAGTCCTCAATGTATGACCTGTAGATCTCCTTCCATTGGGATAGCTTCTTCATTCGTTCTTCAAAAGAAGTGGCAGACCAGGTCTTGAAGGCTTCATTTGCAGACCGGACAGCGTCTTCCACGTCTTGAGTGGAGGCCACAGGTACGTCCCATAGCTTGGATTCCGTTGAAGGATCAACGCTGAATGTGGTTTTGTCGGAGGCGCGACGCTCGCCATCAACGACGTTGTAAAATATTCCAAAGTTGAGATCAATTCGCGTCATTTTGTACAACTGGCTTACCGAATGTTGCATAAATTTGGGAGAGGAAGAAATCGGGTGGTTTCGAATATTTTTGCTGGGTTGCGCGGGATGTATTTGATAGATTTCCAAAAAAAAGCACAATGAGTAGTACTCATAAATACATCAGAGATGTTGTTAGTTACACTTAGACTTCTGCATCTATAGCCGGCCGGAGGTAGTGATGGATAGCGATGGAGCGGGATCCGACGGACTGTATGCGGCTGTAGATGGAAGTGGATGGGTCCCCCAACCCAACCCCGACCTCGGGCCAAGTCTCCATATTTTCCATATGTGTGGAGAGATAGGGGATATAGTGTATGGGTTTAAGATTATATAAAGTAATGAAGTAGAGAAGTATATTCACCCAGAAACATCAATTATTTCACTGTCTTCGTGCAACGACCAACATTGACAGTTCTCCATCGTCCACTTCTCAAAATGCAGCAGACCACCAAAACCCATAAAGCCCTAGTTTATGCTAAGCCAGGCGAGATTTCCACTAAAATTGTGGAGATTGACACTCCCACACCAGGACCTGGGCAAATCCTTATCAAGATGTAAGTTGAGCTCCTCAGTGCCAGGTAGCAGCAGCACTGATATCAAAACAGGACCCATTCTGGCATCTGCCATTCCGACCTCAGTCTCATGACCAACACCGTAAGAATTCAATTTCTGCTGCCAAAAAGTCCCGTGTCATGACCTTTACTAAAAGCATATCTACCAGTGGAGTTGGCTTCCGGAGCCCATCAAAACTGGTCAAATTGGTGGCCACGAAGGTGTCGGTATCGTCGCCGAGTTGGGACCATCATCTGAGGCTTCAGGTGTCAAAGTTGGTGACCGCGTGGGAATCAAGTGGATTGCGTATGCCTGTGGCAACTGCATGCCTTGCCTGGCTGGTGCTGATGGTATATGTATGAATGCAGAGGTATCTGGATATACATGCCCCGGTACATTCCAGGAATACGCCTTGGCTCCCGCTCACTATGTGACGCCAATTCCTGATGGACTGGCTAGTGATATCGCGGCACCTCTTCTTTGTGGTGGTGTTACTGTATATTCGGCCCTCAAGAAGAGCAAAGCTCAGGCTGGCGATTGGGTGGTCATCGCTGGAGCTGGTGGTGGACTGGGCCATCTCGGAGTGCAATTGGGGGGCCGAGGAATGGGATTTAGAATTATTGGGTTAGATATGGGGTCTAAAGAGAGTTTTGTCAAGGGATGCGGTGCCGAAGCTTATGTCGACATCTCCAAGTATCCTACAGCTGATGGCAAGAGCGTTGCTGATCAAATCTTGGAAATTACCGGTGGAAGTGGCGCTGCGGCGGCTGTCATTTGCAGCGCCAGTAATGCTGCATATGGTGAGGCCCTGTCTTATCTGAGATTCAACGGCACGCTAGTCTGTGTGGGTGTTCCATATGACGCGAAGCCGATTGCTAACGCCTATCCTCATTTGATGGTCGGCAAGCAATTTACCATCGTTGGAAGCACCGTGGGCAATCGTTTGGAGGCCATTGAAACTCTCGCTCTGGCCAAGCGGGTAGTCACTGCTCCTTTCCGACTTGAGAAAGTTCAAAACATCAATAGTGTGTTCAAGGAAATGAAAGATGGGAAGTTGCAGGGCCGGGTAGTGTTGGACCTTCAATTTTGTACTTAATATTTTGCAAGGCCGAAATTGAATCACATTGCTTCTTTCAAAGAAAGACTGCAGATGAATAGTAACGTTTTATTAGAAGGACTTTATTGTTGTTTTATCTTCTCCACTAACGATGTTGCCCTGGTGAAACTTTGTGATCAGCTTTGAGCATCGTGTGAGTTCTAGAAATTTAGTTTACTATGAAGAAGTAGTAGAACATTGAATATGATATTTTGCTGTAGTAAAAAGGGGAGGGACTTATTGGACCCAACCTGGAAGAAACATGAGACATTTAAATTTGTGAAGATGCTATGGAACGAGGGAGATTCGCTATAAAGGAAGGTTATGATATCCTGACAGAAAGCCCTTGTACTATACAGGCCTCTGTATTATTACTTGAGCACAAAAGCAAAGAGTTGAGCATAAATGAAAATCAGGTTTATTGGGCCTTTCTGAAGCCGCAAGGCTAAAATAAGCTATGAATAATGGATATACATCATGTGGTTCAAGGAAGACCTTGCCGCACATTGGTATGCTCGTTCAGCCCCCAGGCTGTCGAACTTGAATCGTGAACCGTAGTACGTCTCATATCGCGCTTGTATTTTCGGAGGAAAGGTCCCCCAACAGCCCGATGCATCGTACAGGTGTTGTCCCAGATGACCAGGTCACCAACGTTCTGCCACTCAATCTCAATGGTGTTCTCATCGCGAATTGAGTAATTGTACAATCTGTCAAACAATGCCTGGGACTCTTCGGGGGATAGGCCCTCGATGTGATGAACATGGGCTGCAATATATAAGTTCATGCGATCGGAGGCCTCGTGACGCTGCACAAGCTTGTGCCGTCCCATGGGATGATCGAGCGGGTTGAGGTAAGCGAAGGTCTCAGGGGCAGCCAGCTTGCGAGAGTGGTACATAGAGTGGCAAGCCACGTAGTCCTTGGCTAACAGCTCCTGTCTAAGATCCAAAGGAAGCGTTTCGAATGCTGTCCTCGTGTCTGCAAAGGCTGTGTGGCCGCCCATACCACTGGGAGGAAGCTCGTGTGCTAAAAGCAACGAGTAACCGGCGCGGCGAGGGTTGAAGCTTGAGTCAACATGAAAAAGGTCGTTGCCCTGTTTATCCGAAGTTGTTAGCAAAAGAGCCCATTTGATTAGGCGTTAATAAGTACCTTGTTTGCTTGTCCGCGGGCGCTCTCGGGATCAAGGATGGTTCCATCGGTCTCGACGTTGCTTACATCGAAAAGTTCGACGTATTTGAGACGGTGCTTGCGGCCCATACCGACATAAGGCGTCACATCATCTAGCTCTCCAAACTTTCTGGAGAAATCAATGTGACCTTCATCTGTGAGGCCAGTGCTGCGGAAGACCACGACACCAAACTGCATTGTAACCACCCAGTCAGTTTGATTTCCGGCTACAAGCAATAACGCGGAGGAAAGGACCCGAGTCATACCTTGGTGACAGCCTGATGGATATCCTCAAATACTTCATTGCTTAAAGTCGACTTGAAATCCACCCCACTTATCTCAGCGGCGAAATTTGGGTGGAGAGGTTTGACGGAGATGTGGGAGAACGGGATGTTGGTGGTTGTTGTAATGTTGGCCGACATATTGAACTAGCTTTTCTGCGTTTATGGCAACAGGAATGATTGGATTCAATAAGCTCTTGGCCTTCAGATAGCTCCGTGGATAGTTCATATTATCCTTTATATAGGATTCAAAGCCCTACGGCTTTGACGATCCACACAACGGGATGAAGTCAAAGCAAGGCTGAGTATGAGCTAGCTTTGTCATCCATCTATAACCGATTCGTGCGATGACATCGAGATTATCATTAGGGTTGATTTTAACTTCCTTACCATGAATATTATCTATAGCCATCTATAGCCGAAGATTAGACTGCCAAGAACTACCAAAAAGGGAACCGTCACGTGTGACGGTTAGCTCTCCATCACACAGGTTCAGAAACTTTAACTATGGAACCTACTAGTTTGAAACTTGAGTTCTTCACAAATAAAACACGAATCCAGTCTAACCAATACCAATGCGGTAGACACTGAAATGACTTTCCCTGCTTCGGTGTTCTCCTTTCGAACATGCGAGACAGGCGATCAGGCCGAGTTACTTCTAGCCACTCCTGGGGATTGCTTGGACCTTATACGCGCATCTTACTCGCCTATTTTGTTAACTGAGACAACGGGAGAAGGTGACCAGGACAGGAATTCAGTCATAATACAAGGTCAATTACCAACCTCAGCCAAGGAGAAAAAGAAAAAGAAATAAATTAATGAAGTATGCGCAAATTTAAAATTAAACACATTCAAGCAGTATTCAAAGCAAGTCGAATTCATTTTATATCAGACTTCTTGGAGATCAATTCCATTTTCCCAACGGTGGTCAGTGTACTTCTTACCTGAATTCGCTACAATTCCTATTAAAGTATGTATGACGAATCACCAGATGAAGAATGTCTTTCTTTTCTTTTCTTTTTATTTCCTTTGTGTAGGCTTGCATCTAGAGAAGTTGTGATGAATTTTAAGTGACACTATTCCATGGGAACTTCAATGTCGGCTACAAGATGTTTCAGCACTATTGAATACTTGATGGCTATGCTCTTTGGCACTCTGCATCTTTCTCTCATTCTCTCCCTTGCCCCTTTCTTGTTTCTAAAGGCCATGCTTCAAGAAAGCCATAATTAAGTGAGGTGGGGTAGAAGGATCATGCGAGGGGTACTTACTTCATTAGCTCGGCAGTTCTGGAAGAAGTCAATTAGCAAAATGAGAGTGAAGGATAACCATGACGCTGGAGGTATGTGCTAGTAAGTCTGCTTAGTTGCGTATATGTATTACGTCGTGGATTTGCGGATCTGCGGTACTGTTTTATTTCTTTTTAAATATATATTACAGATGACTTGATTTACGCTATACGTTCTATATAGAACATATAAACGTGAACTGAGTTCGGGCAAGGGCTGAGCATGGAATAGCTAAATAAACTGACATAACCTATTTTTCCCCAACTTCGGGCTTTTACCCCAAGAGTGAATCTTCTTCAGAGACATGAAAATAACTTTCAGCCGAAGTAGGTATACATAAATTTAGATCGATTCTAGGCCATTCTCAAGGTGCATAGCTTCTCCACGTTCTGTTTGCCCCGGCCCATGCTTGAGAGTTCTCCCTTCATCTTGGTGTTTATCTTTCCCCATTCTCCAAGCAAGCTTAATACCATTGAATGCATCTTCAACTTCCTCTAGTGTCCTCCCTGATGTCTCAGGGAAAACGAAGAAAACGTGAAGGGTCATGGCGAAGGCGAACACGGCAAAAATGACATAGGTCTTCCAAGTGATGTTGACAAAAGCAGGCGGAATAAAATAGCTCAGAGCAAAGTTGAATGCCCAATTGCTGGCAGTAGATAATGCAGCGGCTTTGCCTCGCAGGCGTAGGGGGAAAAGTTCCGATGGATACACCCACTCAATAGGGCCCCATGTTGGAGCGAAAGAAGCCACAATGAGATAGGAGCAAGCAATAACAACCTTGGCAGGGGCTCCTGTGATTAACCAACTTTGTTCGGCAATAGAGTTCAAACCCCCTGGTGGAGCTGGAGCACCATAGCCTCCCATTAGGCCTGCACATACGGACCACCAGATGGTAAGAGAGATGCTACCTCCGATAAGTAATGGACGACGCCCGATCCGATCCATGAAGAGAAGCGCGGGTACGGTCATAACCACATTGATCACACAGCTGATGGATGAAGCCACTAGGTTGGAACTGCCACTGAGGCCTGCCATTCCAAAGATATATGTGATGTCTAAAGATGTCAGCGAGACTTTCACCATGCTGGACAGGATGCGGCGTACAATAAAGAATGGCGTTTATTCCAGTTAGTTGACACCATATCTGGACGAAGACGACAATGTGCGTCCGCCAAATCATATGCGGCCGGAATAGATCAAAGTAAGTGTTATCGGTCTTGTGGCGCTCCAATTCACAGGCATCTTTGAGCTGCTGGATCTCCATCTGGATAAATTCGTCATCAAGGTTGTTGTTAGAATGAATAGAAGAAATAATATGACAGCATTCTTCCCAGCGATCTTTCTTTGCCAACCATCGCGGAGACTCGGGCGTAAACAATAATCCAAAGAAAAGGAAGATGGCGGGAATCATCTGAAGACCCCAAGGTAGCCGGAAAGCCAGAGGGCCTGTGAGGAAGGACGACCCATACGATATATAGAACATGATCAAAACCCCCCAGGTGATGGCCCATTGCTGAGCACCCATTACTAAGCCCCTAAGATGAGGAGGCGCGAGCTCTCCAACATATACAGGAACTTGTGCTGAGCATATTCCGACACAAAAGCCGTTGATGAATCGACCCACGATTAACATAGTAACGTTCTGAGAAGCGGAACAGAGCGTACTTCCGATAATCCTGGTCGTGCATTATGTCAGCTGCTTTCAGATGGATCACCTGGAGAGCCCTGGGCTTTATTGAGGCATGACTAACCATATGATGGATCCCATTTGAATAGCGGATTTTCGGCCGAATATATCAGTCACGAAGCCCGAAATCAATGCTCCTATGAAAGAACCTCCAGACATGGAGGCGGTGATTCCACCTTGCAGCGTAGAACTTGGACCCGAACAGTGGATTGCGTTATTAAATGGGGGCCCATTAGGTCCCTGGTTGAAATAGCATCTGTATTGTTGGGTGGAAAGGCTGCATTTATTAGAAAATGCTCGTTTTCGCCGAAGAAGATAACTCACATTGCAGACATCGAGGACAGATCAAAGCCGAATAGCGAGCCTCCAATTACAGCAATAGCTGTGATAACATAAATATTGGTAATCATCATTGTTATGAAGGGCAAAAAATGTAGTAGTGATGGAAATATTATCGAAATAGTCATATATCTATCCGAGGACGATATATAACATAGTTAATTCTCACTAGAACTTTATTACCTATAATTTGCGCTAAGTTCTCCACCTCAATCTATCTTTAGCCATCTACTGCCCTGATATGGGATACAGCACCTGGATTCCTCAGGAATCATATCAGGTTCGGGGGAGCTGCGGATCAATTTCAACCAAAAGTGAGTGAGTGAGTCGCATGATGCTCACTGCTTCGGTCGATGAGCGGCGAAGCAAACCCCATGGTATTATCTCACAAGGGGCAGCATATTCGCCTGTCATATTATGGCTGTATAGTTAACGTTTAATACGGTGAGTTTTAGAGAACCCAGTTTCAGTCCCGACGAGAACTATTTACAACTGTCTGAGGCAGGGTACAGTATAGCTAGTGTGACATCGGTGAGCATCGCGGGCTGCCTTCAGTCACGTAAACCCCCCTCGGGAACAAATCCCACTTACCTACAAGCCAATGTCCCTTGATGGATGGTGTATCAACTGGAAAATATTGTACATGGTTTGAGTTGACTCCAAATCCTTGTTCTCCAGTGGCGAATGGAGATCTTGCTGGCTATAGACGGCTTGAGGCGGAACTGGCCCACTATCCATGAGAATGATGGGCCGCTCCGCATGCTAAATTCATAGACGGGTATAGAGCAGTTTCGCTCTAACGTATCCATCTTTAGCCGCCAATCTTATCTAATCGCTCTTCCCTCATTCAGTCCTCTTAACCAGAGAAAGTATATCTCTGCTTGCTTTTGATCCGTTCATTCAGCAGATAATTAGCTATCCCACTCGGTTGTGTTATACACGGTCGCACAAGTGTTGCAACAACGAAGAGGTTGGAATACTTCGTCCCTGATATAGATTATGACTTTGTATATTCCTCGGGGCTTTTTTCTGAGGACACCATGCTGAACCCTAGGTGCGTATCGGGAAATTGGACCTGGCAGAGGTTGCGATCCACTGGAATATGTAGCCAGTGCTCTGATATCACGGAATCCATCGACCTCAAATGCGAAAGCACCGAGAATCATTCCATATATCCCCAAGACACTGATCAAACACGCCAATATGTGAATGTGACATGTTACCCTGCCCCCGTCCCCCACAAGGAAATTCGACCCAATTCAACTTACAATTTTCCTCTTTATTGGCGCCTTCGTGGCTGTCGTACAAAACTAGCGGACTCTCTTGGCATGTCTTTTCGACCTTTGACTTTAAAATTTAGGTAAACCTTGCTTAGACCAAGTATTAGCGGTTTCCCTGGCCAGAGGATCCGCTGATGGTCGTCGCGCATGCTGAGATAGGGTGCAATGAAGATTACCACGACTTGGATATCATTGGTGGGATCTGGTTGACAAAGCGATGGAGTGTAGTCTTGTACTGTTTAGCCACAGTGAGTATAGAGTAAACCAGCCGACGCGATCAGCAGCAATATCAAGAGGACTTTTCCGAACTGGGTCGAGTTACTGGTAAGGGTGGTGTCGGGGTAGGTCAGAACGGTGGCCACAGCAGCGACCCAGCTCTTGAGGGGCTCTGTATCACGGAGTCATAGACCTCGCCCCGGATGCGGATCCATCGATCCTTGCTCGTGAGCACAAGAACATATATTTTCCCTTTTCTCTGCATATCATACACGATCCTAGCGCGCTGATATGTCCTTTGCCTCTCATGCTGATTTTCTTTGCGCAACTCACCGACATGTGGCGTGATACTCTACCAATTCTAGTGCGTCTAGCTAACTAGCTAGCAGCTACAAAAAAAAAAAAAAAAGAAATAGAACAAAAGTATATAACAGCATATGTAACGTCGCAGTTACCTAGTGCCTACGGTTCGGGCATGGGCGGCTCGCCGCTCTATGGAGGGCACTTGGGGCGGATGTTTGCCCACCCGAATATTCTTCACCCGTATATTCCGCCTGTGAAGCAAAAGGTACATTTTGTATTATAGCTTAAAACACGATAAGTAGCCTTCTTTTCCCCTCCACTTTTATCACTCTAAACCTACATTTTTTAATCCAAGTTATGACTAGACCGCTTGCTATGGCCGTGACAGTCAAACTGTGAAAGGTCACTTATATACACGGTGGTATCAGGCTTTCAAATAGTAGTTCATACGGGTAGGTTTTCCTTTTCTTATATTGTTATTTACGTGAATTTAGAGAAGCAAATGATGGATACAATTGGATTGTATGCAGGATGTCATCTTGTTGGTAGAATAGATATCATCCTACCCTATAAGAAGGTAACATATCCATAACTTTATTCAGAGCATGATCACATCTGTAGAGTGCGGTTGAACCTTTCACTGTATATGAGTGGTTGGACATTACGTAGTTCTGCAATTGTGCGTTGGTTGGATTCTTGACTGAGAGATTGCTAGGCACGTTTATATCAATATTGGTGGAGTCTGAGTGACGGTGATTAAAATCATATCTCTTCATTTCCTGTTCCTCATGGGATAATGCTAGGGGTCTTATCTGGCATATAATCAGGCCAAGATATTATGCAGACTGATCTGAGTAACAGTTGGTACAGCGGATGCAAGGGTGAAATCGTTAACGCAGTGTCAGGCATCATGCTTCCGTTAACTCTGAAGCAAGTAGCAAATATCATCATTGTCTCTAGAGGCCTAGTGGCTATCTGGGCTCTCCTTAATCACCTTACAATAATGTTGTGGTGGCTTCTTTTGTTTTAGTCGAATCAGAGAGCTAGCATGAACTAGATATGCATGTGTGACCCAAACGGTCAGCACTGGAGTTTCAGCTGGCCCGACACCTAGAGGTACGTTAATTATTAGCCTTGATTAACAATCGCTGATAAAAAGGTTTTAAGTGACTGAAAGTGAGAGGCACCTCTCCTCCGATGGTTACCTCATAACTATATGCTTCTCCCTTCTCTTTCTTGCATCGTTTAATTAACAGAATAAACATTAGAATACTAGTACATTAGCCTCGTGGAGCTGTATCTCTGTGGCGTAATAGAATATCTTCAATATCAATGAGAAAATTCTACTGAAGAGGTAGAGGTAGAATGATGAAAGTCTATCATTGGGTAAGCTAAATGACATTCTGGGGTGTAACAACCTTCAAAACAGCAGCGGTCTAAATAATTATGATTTCCACCATTGCATTTCATTCCTTGGAAAACAGTATTTCACAATTTAAATCTACTCCGCCATGTCAGTTTCCGAATCTATCTCACTAGATCTTTTTCGTTTCCTGGAAGGCCACTCTGCTTCCCGCTGGATCCTGTCATACTTCCTAGACTGCACTCGTAATTCCTGCAAGTTATCGTATCCCTCATCTAATTCCTCGTAAAAACTGAGATATTTCTCAAACTTGACATTGATATCGTGTACTTCATGATCTTCCATATCGAAGCGCAGATTTCGCGCGAATTCTGGAAAGTCTGGGTCGATGGGTCTGTATTCAATTGGTTGTTTCCCAAGAAGAGCATTTTTAAACCAAAACTCGTCTATCTGGTCGATCTCGTCACCGCACTGTTCGCAAATATTTCTCCCGATTTCCACATCATCGGCGCAAATATCACAGCAGTCGATCCCCTGGTCTTTGCATCCTTTCGCAATAGTCCGCCAGTATCGAACCTCCCGAGTGACAATTTTGTAAATGTTAAAGATCCGCCTTGCGATATCTGAATATATATATCCAGGTTCCCTCCAAGGGTAATGATTGCGCAAAAAGAGATCCGCGTATAGCCCAGGACGTGAGGAACCTTGGCGAACGGGAGGTTCGCATCCCAGAGATAGGATCCAATCCACAAATTGGAATCCTTCCGAGAAAATACCATAAGAGTTTTCAATATTCCATCGTTTTCCATATTTCTCCTTTCCGAAGCCGCGGATATTCGGGACCCTATGAATTCGCGAGGTGTGATAGACATCATGGTTCTCAAACGTGTTTTTAATTGCCATGCCTAAAATCGCTGGCGTTGGTACATCGGGTGGTCCATCCATGAGAAAGACGCATACCGAGCTCATCTGGCGTCCAGCATCGTGTTGATGGCCATGACCATAGACCAGAACACACCCGTCTGAGGAAACACTGAGATAGCCAAAGTCAAAAGGCTCCAGTGATGAATTTGACAAATGTATTTGGTCAAAGGAATTCGATGTATTCAAGAATGGTTCTTGGGGTTCGAGTTCCCCTTTCCTGAACTGGTTGTAAATGTAATGGACTATATCCCTAGGAGCTGAGTTGCTAGTCACCAAACGAATCCGAGATCCCCCGCCACCTACTCTCAGGCAAATTCGTCGGATGGCAGCCAAGAGGGTGTGTCTCATATTTCCCGCATGAAGTTTAGCGATGATGTTCTTCAGCACTTCGATGTCACATTCATTTCCCACCAAAGGCGGTTGACAAGTTACTCGCCGTCGACTGTACATGGAGGCCGTAACGAGATCCTCAAATGCATCTTCAGCAACGGCGATCACGGTCAATTCCCGAACCTTCACCCAGTTCGGCAGTAGGAATGAAGCATATGTCACTAAAGCATAGAATTTGATTTGATCGAGATGATGTGATCGTGGCATCCGAGAACGTCCAGTCCACTCCTCTTCCATCATACCCAGGCAGGCCCAACTTATCAATAGAGGGATCTCTTGCAACTTTGTGATAATTTGTCTGGCGAGGATTTTCCTAGCTTGATCTTGAGTTGATTGTAGCATTGTCGTCACATTGTCTCTTGTCACTAAAAAGCAACGATATTGACTCTCGACAAAAGTGGCATGTCGAATGATCCCCAACGGGCTGTCTAGTGCTTCGAAACTCTTGAGACTCCGATGATAGCTGTCTTGGGTGCTTCTAGAGCTTTCATCCGACGTGTTAGGATGTATTGACGTGAATGTGGAAAATATGTCGGTATCTGGATGAATCATGCTTGCACAATCATTCTGCCCAGATGCTACGGCCCTGAGTTGGTTTAATATGTCCTCGCGATAAATGTCACGAGCCCACTCGAACACATAATCGACAATCAGCAGAAGCTGTAATGCCCCATTTCTTGATGTAATAGAGCCTCCCCATAGATCGAAAATTTGCTGGGAGAAAGTTAGCATGCGCCATCTTTACTCCAGGAGATGTCTCTTGGGCCAAGATCCCCAGGGGAAACGAACATATTCAGTAGTACCAATAGTCCCAGGTTTCTCTCCTGCACCATTACATACGCATGCCACAGACACTCGCCAATCTTCTCCTCTATTCATTAGTAACCAGACTAATGGATCAGCGCGCCGCTTTGCGTGCCGCTCAGTCATATTTTTCAACAACTCCTGCGTGCATAACAGTGTCCGCACCGGAAACGCGGATTGCAACTTAATGGAATTCCAATCGCTATCAGCCGACTTCGCTGACTTTGCCTCTAGAAGAAGAAATGGGAACACCAATGGATCCCCTTCCTCACTGAGCGGAGGATCTCCCAGGATCTCATGAACAAGCATATCCTGATCATCCTCCGGTCTACCTATACCAGCTGTGTCGTTCAAGAGGTTTTCAATGTTTCGAGTCTGTCGAAGTCCGTAGATTGCATCTGGCTTTGTAGCACTTGGTAGTTCTTTCTGGATAGTTGGATCGTGGTGTATTGGTTCATCTTCCCGATGGCCAAAAATCCGATTCAGCCCGATAGCTTCCATTCTGCGTGGCCTGTTAGTGCCAGTGACTAGCAGGTGATGTGTTCTCACTTACGAATCTGCAATCCTGAAGTCTCGCGAACAGCGACATGGCTTTCGTTTATTCTGCCTAACACGCAGGGCTTCTGTTATAGTCGAGTTCCCCTCACTTGTCGCTTCGATTTCCGAACGCCATATTCTCTTCCGACAAAACTTGCTAGGGTCCAATGTAAGTCATTTTGTTTAGGTCGTTGGAATTAGAACTCCTACCATACGACTTCTGAAGTAAGTCGAGCCAACACGTAAGGTTCGCACGCAAACCGCCAGGTCGATTCATTTCGCCTCGCACAGCGCTTAGCCCGTTCAGAGAGTTCATCGGCATGTTTCTTTATTTCTGCAGTCCATGGTGCATCTTCAATAGCTGTCGGACAAGCCGCATAAGTGTCGAATTGCCTCTTTCCTAGCTCATCAACCGCATTAAAAATCGGACGATGGACATCGGGCCATTCATGGCTTGGAAGCTCTCCGCAGAATTCAATTCTGTACTTCCGTCTAAGTCTTTCAACCTTCTTCCTTTCTTGGGCTGTGAATGGCATGGGTGAAGTGTAGGCCTGAGACTTGAGAAGTGTGGTCTAGGGTCATGAAAGAGTGTAGCTGTGGGCATTCCGATAGTTATCTAGATATAAATACCCATACATAGTCTAGCCCTGACATATGTGGAAACTCGCATGCGAAACTTCATCTTCGTGGCCCCTAATCCTAGTTTCTAGGTGGCAATGAACTAACATTGGTGTTGTAGCTGTCCCATAGCGTAGGCGCTCTGCAAGGCTAAGAGGGGGTGGCTGTGCTTGCCTCGTGCAAATAGGAAAACACGTAAGGTACAGGTGTCTAACATCCTGGTTTCACCAATGGATCGCCGATACATATATACGCTAGAGCGAGCAAAATAGCCGCCTAGATACTTCTATAGAGAATGATAGGTTCTAAAGGCACCTTAGTAATTCTATGACGTAAGGGCAAGACTGTTAGTGGGGAAGCCTGACAGGCAACAAGGCAATTTGGCGGCGAAGTAGACATACCCTAGTTAGTAGTCGGCATCCTATTAACAATTAGGGGATCCACAACTGATGTAGGAGTTTTGTGAGAACAAAGAGAAGAAAAAGGATGAGGGGATACTAAGTCATTCTCGCTTTTTTTTATAGTTATTTTTAGTATACCTTTCTATGCGATACGAGCACGCGATTGGGGGGTACAGAGAGTCGGGATTAGCGGGCTGCTCCGGGCCGTTCATTTAGGTGATCGCCATAGGGCCAACCTGCCAAGCGCCGCGGCCCATAAGGTTCTCACCCTATATATAGCACACTTACTCTTGTCTCCCCGGTCGCGCGACCGTAAAACGGCGGTCACTTTTTTCACCAGGGCAGCATCTACCAAACTATTTGCCGCATATAAGCCCCTTACCGGTGAGTTAGTAGTGGGGTGACCTCCAGCGAGTTTATCAATATCAAGTTTGATTCTCTTAGGCGGCCCTCCTTTTTCTTTCCCACTGTCATTTGAACCCGAGGAAGACATGTGTCAGCCAATAGAAAGGAAAGGTAGTCTTTTTCTCGAGCCGGATGTTGTATATCGACCACTTTGGCACCTGCGAATGGTTGTGCAGGTTGTGGGGTCGAGGTTTCTTCCTCTCGTGAGATAGGACCTGATGCCGATTCGCTATCTGCGCTAGATGAAGCATGGAGGCGCTGGGACTCGTGAGATAAAAGTGGGCTCTGGTAAGGATAATTAATATTTAGAATGCAAATTAAAATGTGGGCTTAGTGCAAAGAAACTGGTCGAAGAAACATGATGTTGATGAACAACAAATAACCTGCAACCAACGGTTATTTGGGAGTTGACCGGAAGTACAATCAATGTTAACAACGCTTTCCACTACAATCAGTACAATAGAATAAATAAGAATAAACACATAGTCTGTAAGACATCGACGAGCTGTATAAGGTCCATAGTGGTGAGAAACGAGGGCCAACGGCAAGCAAACTTGCAGCTGTTGATTGAACGATCGGTTGTCAGAAATATGAGAAGTGAAAGAAAATCAAATGCTTGATTTTCTTTTATTATAACTGAAAGACGTAGGGTGTTTATTGAATATCATTGGCTAAACTTCGTATGCCATCTACCATCCACCCCCCACCTACATACAATAGATTTAAACCAAAAAGTCGTATAACAGCATGTCGAATGTGGTGTTCACCTACATATCTAACAATATAGATTCATTTGGATCGGTTCCATGCTCATAATTGACCGAAATCTGCGGTACGATAAATGGATGGTATGAATCAAATGATATGAATTTCTCCAACGAGCAAAATGCCAGAAAATCTATTATTCGACCAATCTGATAGTGATTAACTGAGACCACCACTCTTGTATGGTATTATCCATAGTACTGATCCATGGATATCCCAGGTGAAAGTACACGGTTTTGATCTATATACTCGGACAGTCAAAACTTAAAGAAAAAGCTCACACCAATCCACAATATTGATGAAATCCCCCCTGTAGCTTCTGTCTTGATCCGTTCGAGACCACCTTTCAAAGGCACTGGGAGTAGTAAGGGTTCTGCTTAGAGCAGGTGGTACCACTCTCACAAGCAGTGGAGCCAGTCCAGTACATGCCACCGCACTGGCCGTAGTGCTTAGAGGTCACTCCAGTAGTGTCGGGCTTGGAGGTGTCGGGCTTGGAGGTGGTCTTAGTGGGGGCAGACGAAGAAGATGACGGGGTAGAGGCAGTGCCACTGACGAAGTACTTCTTGAGGATGGGCAAGTAGGTCGAGTAAGCAGGGCCGCTGCTTGGCTCCAAGCTATACATGTAAGATCCCCACATAGGACCTGCAGCCCACCACTCGGCACCCGTCCAGACATCGCTGTTCTCGGATAGGTAGGAGAGCATATCTTCGACAGCAGCTTCACAGTTAGAGTTCACGCCGCCAGCGAACTCGCCAAGGAAGCCCTTCTTGTTATTACTCTTCAACCAGGCGGTGGCAGACTGGAGACGCTCCTTGCCGATAGTGGCACTGACGCAAGACTCGGAGGTACCGGAACTATCGGTATCAAGGTACTGGTGCATCTCGTAAACGATCTTATCCTGGGGGTCGGTAAGGGCCTTAAGGTTATCGTTATCGGTAGTCCAAGACCAGGCACCACTATAGCCGTTACCTTCGACAAAGATATACTGGCTAATAGCGCCAGCAGCACGGATTCCGTCAATTGCAGCCTGGTTCAAGTTCAGGACTAGGGTTTGGTCGATATCATGGTACTCATTGTCTAGGGGGACGATATTAATAAAAGATTCAATAGTTCAAGTTTTGGGATCGGGTAATAGCTTACTGGTATCGAAGATAACCTTCTCGTTAGAGAGAAATTCCGTAGCTACGGTCTTCCAGAAGGTCTTGAAATCGGAGGTCGAGGTGATGATATTGCCATGGCTATATAGAGTATTAGTATGAAACAAATATAGGAAGCTCAAGTTTTAGTATACGTACTATCTTCCATAGTTATGAGGGTCCAGGACGACATAGGCACCGCTATCCGTCACAAACTTGACAGTCTATAGAACGGAACAGTTAGACCTCTAGGGGAAAATCAATGACCACGAGAGATATCACGTACAGACTTAAGGCCAGCTAGGTAAGTGGCATCCAGGCTACCAGCAATACCATTTTTCACCAGACGCTCCATTAAGAAGGGCACACGGAAGATGTTCATGCCGGCATCTCGTAGGATCTGAACCTCGGAAGTCTTAGGCCAGGAGTAATCTTGGCCCGCAGTACCGGGGATGTTATTGGCGCCAAATTCAGCACCAGACTCGCTCACACCAAACCAAGTGAACCCATTAGCACGCTTCTCAAGATTAGCGCGCTGCTCGGTAGGAACAGTGTCTTTTCCTAGGGGGTATGCGTAAGCCACAGCAGCAGCGCTGGCAGCCAAAACAATGTTGCTGAACTTCATTGCGAAGTATGAAAGAGAGTATCGAGTTTGACAAAAAGAATGTGATGGAATCAAAGTAAGAGAGTGAAACTAAAAAGACCAGCCTTGAAGTTTGAATGAAAGAGAATGAACGTATACACAAAGCAAGAATAAACCCTACAGAAGCCGTCTTTTATATAGCCATACTCGGCTCGGTGACGTCGAATAAAGCTTGTTCTACTCCGTACGGGGTTGACTGATACGGAATCCAAGGCAGAACACGGAGTGGTTTCACTATTCCGAGTCTCTCATCGAGCCACTTTGGAGGTTACTCGGCCCGGGATGCCGGCTCCCTTCTAGATGGTGGGTCTCTTCACCACCCAAGGGGCCGAATCAAACCGTCAAATTTCCCCAAAGCCATTAGTTCAAGCTTCACTTGCAGAATCAGCTAACCAGTCTTGGGTGTAGTGGCCGAAAATAAAACTCTAGGTAAATGAAATTCTCAACATGAAACATCATGTAGCATTCAAGTTGATATAAATTAAACTTCCGGTATATTTTCGCGATACAATTTCCAAATTTAACGCGGAAGGTCCTTTACAAACTTGTAAAGCAGGGAAGCTCGTGATATCGAAGCCAAAGTAGCGATTGTCGGCCGTGCCTCCACCTGTACGAATACGACGTGAGAGTTCACCAACACCCTGGTATTTTCAATATCTGAACACACCCGAGAGACAGAGACATCAAGAGATCTAGCAAGAGAAATATGGCTCTGGAAAAGTCTGTATTCACGTGAAGAGAAGGTAGAGAGGACGGAGTGGCTCTTAACGTCACATGAAAACCATCGGCGAAGCCCCGTATGAGAAGGGTGGCTCCAAGTTGAGCCCCCAGCCATACAGAAGTTGACGCTGGGTTTTAACAATACGCAACGGTGTCCATAACCTCTTTTGCGCTACAATTTGACACCAGGGTGTTGCGGAACAGACTTCCAAGTGGGGCCCCACTTGATACCCTATGTGGCAGCCTACAGCCTACCATTCCCAGCAACAATTGGTGCCTTGATAAGACAGGCTACACTCGAGGTCTCTTCAGGTACATTTTTTATTTCTCAGCGAACGGCATATGGCGTATGTGTTCATTTTGGTCTCTCCATCTAAAAGATCGTGCGTAAATCCACATTACTACGTCAAATATGTCGTAAATCGAAACAAGATTACTTATTAACAATCAAGACTTACAAAATGTAAATTCTTTGATTTCGTAACCAGGCAGTGTAATAAGCTAGGAAAATAGTGACCAAAGCTTCGTGTCGCCCCGGCTTCACATGCTAGGATTTGTGGCGCGTCACATTGGCCTGTTCTGCAAATTTAAAACAGAAAAGTTAAGAATGGGCGGGGTCTATTCCTTATAGTACCATGACGGAAGCTCTATCTTTGACACAATTACCCGAGACGTAGGATGCTCGTAGAACCAAAGTTGCCTCCTTCGCAATTTGGCATTACGGCGTGTGATTGATTAATGCTTTGGTAGTAGAGACTCCCTAGCTGATCTATCCGATGGGGATTCCTAGCATTTTTTCAAGATAGACTCTATTTGATTCTAATAGAGGCCTTGTCTTCAGTAGTTTAGTAAAAGTATCGGCTGATCTGGGAATAATTACGGACAAGACACGAACTGGCTTTAGAACAGCGGGTTGGGGCAGTAGAATGGAAAGTGGGGAGTTTGGATGATGGTGTGGTGCTCCACCGAGGAGTAGTATATTTTAGTTCGTACATGTTGTCCATCCTTGTCCATACCTTGATAGATAATCCATACTCGCCTATATCCTTGACTTTGCCAGCCCACTTCAAGTCTTTGCACCCTTGCTGTATATGAAACACCTGGAAAATGCGCATTTTTATGCTCACTGTATCCTACCTCTCTTCTCCTGAAGAAGTAGAGAAATATTTACCGGCTCACATAGCCTGGTTAGAGGAGCAATATGAGCGGAAAGTGTATTTACTTTTTGCTCGCAAACTCCCGTTCACAGGCGGAGTATGCCTTGCAGTCGCAGACTCAGCAGATCAAATGGCTGAGATAACGGAAACCGACCCCTTCCGTATCACCGAAGTCGCAAAATACGATATTCAAGAGCTTGACCTGACAAAGGCCAATACCATTTCGCTCCTCGAACATGCGTCCCACCAAGGATAAGGTCTTCTTGATCTTTTCTCACAGTGTCAGTGTCTGCAGCACATGTGAAGCAAAGGAGTAGCAGCAAAAGGAACGAATTGGATCAAGCTAGCTGGATCTACATCTAGAACCACTGGAGCGAAAACAGCCATCCCGAGAGGAAGGTAGAATTTATGGGGGCACTGGTGGTGTATAACAACCGTCTGACCTGGTGGAATTCAGCTATTTCCCAGGGATCTTCTAGCGTCAAAATCCCTTCCGTATTTTATGCATGTTGTTTGAAGCACACGCAAATAAATAAAAACACTCTAATATATATATATATGAAATGGTACTACAAGAACTAGATATCTCACTGAACTTCGTAAGTATATGGGGATCTCCTTGGGATAATGGTACATTCATGTAAAAATTTCAAATATACGGCAGTATTATAAGATATGCTAAACTATGGAGAGATGATCCGACTATGGTTTGATTATCATAGTGATAGGTGAATCCCACTAGGGCAGCTTATTGTCTAGACAACGGCAGCGGTCATACGTCACTTGGTTGTTTTTGACTAAATATAGAGAGTTCAATTTCTATAGATGCCAGCCAACAAATTTTCGCTACGATGTGGTTTCGGGTCCTTAATACAGACAGGCATTGTTTTTACTTTGAGCTTTCTGCTATACTTGGCTACAAATTAACTGGTTTGTGATATATGCGACGATTCAGAATATAGCGACAGCCACAGTATCGTTTGATTCGAAGTATATAAGGGATTTGATGTATATATATATAGCTCTTTACCTGATGACGGCTCTATAAAAATCACCTGTTACACGATCACTGGGGACTTTTTAGGCGTTTTCATACTTATCCCATCTTATTAACACGGTTATACGACAAATTTCCTACAATAGTAGCTAATTATCACGGAGAATTGATATAATAATTGAAAGGTTATAAGAATCTAAGGTCTCTGAAAAGTCCCGACCAAATCTAGTACTTCGGAGGTCCCACTGTAAAAGTAAAGGTGGCACCCGCGAACCACCGCTTAACTAAGCGGAACCGGTGCAACAAGCTTGACCGACAATGGTAGATCCAAGTTCCGGCCTACGGCAGGAAGTAGGCAGAGGAATATACTAGAATGAGTTAAAGAAACCACTAAAGTGCCAATTAGGCTTCTACTCAGCAAGTATGTCTCCCAACTTGGACAAGCCTTTCACCGGCTCTTGGTACGAAGCCCGTCTCACAAGGAGGGAACAAATGTCAAGACATGAGCAATCGCGACAATTCGATATATGAGTGCCCGCTGTAATCACCAGCTTACAGGAGTGATATTTACCAAGAAGATATTTCCAGTCTGCTGTATGCATAGAAGTCTTTGTACGGAAGTAAGTCCACCATCCATTGAGCCGTAGGTATATTTTGAGGTTCTGAAACACAAAGAAGGCTTAATCTGAACATTTCAAAGCAAACTTGTTGTAGTGGGGGCACTACAGTGGGGAGATAGATGGATGAAGAAGAGTTGTTATTTGTAAGAACTAATTAAATGAAGGGTTTAAATACCCTTAGCACCAAACATCATCTGAAGACTGCTCAGTCTGTCAAACATCCATGCCTGCATGTTCAACAAAACTAATACATTACGGTATTGTATGCGGTAAGAGGGGCTATGCTACCAAGGAAATAATTGCATTCAGAAGATTGAGCGATGCCAGAAAGCCTCAGATATGCTAAATACCAATCTGCCTCTCCCATAATCCTTGAAATGAGCGGGGTTGTGCTAATGTAATTGGAGTAAACCGGTCCAAATACCTTAGCACAAACCTAAAGATCACATACAAATGCATCAAAATCGAGAGCGCTGTGAATAATTCTCCTCCTCATTCTTATGAGCAAAATATTCGGTCGGAAATGCTTTTCCCTTACATATCATCATGCTAATAGCTAATAAGTGATGTGTTGGCCAATGCTTGACTCTCTTTATCACAAGACCCTCTAGAAAATCCCGTTGTTGTTCTTCGATTGACTGGGGACTTCAGAGATTGAGTCCCAGTGCTCCACAAACTCTCCATCGATGTGTCTCAGCATATCGAATACATTCAAACCGAGGTCCCCCTTCCACCGCACAACATGGCTCTGAATAACAATATAGTCCCCGTCCGTAAGGACCCGCTTGAATCTAATCTCGGGGCTTTCGGCTGCGTTCCCAATCAAGCCCTGGATCTTCTTGTTTGCCAGTTCAGAGAATTCAATGATCGACTCGGGACCGTCGCCCACCTCGGGGTTGTGTTGCTTATACTCTCCGCGAAGCAAAGAGCGTGTTGTATCATAGTCAAAGTAGACGAATGTGGCCAGGAATAGTTCGAGATATTTCTTGATGATGGACACCTGGGCATCGGTGTGTGGGGGCTGGTCAACAAGCGCTGCGTATCTCGCCTCGACTTCCCGTTTCAGGTCAACCATGGTTGTGGTTAGATTATACAGCGAGTAAAAGAGTTGACTGCAGGGTAGGTGTGATGGACACTACGGAAATGCTCCTGATAGATATATTTATATCTCTATCTTCAACCAACACGGTTGTGGTGGGCCCAAGCTATCCGCAAGGGCATGATTGACGGAGTGGCAGAGTGGTGGAGTGGCGCCGTAACCCTACAAGCAACTCGATGTGGAGGTTCAGCTATGCCGGGTGGTGCAGCAAATGGGCCCCACGCCCCACCGCCACTTCACACGCCAGGTGTAAATATGACTGAAGAGACTGAATTACAGGGACTCAGCGAAGCCTTATCATATCCTGCGATCGAATGGTTTTAACCTTGTCACCATCAACACGCTCGATAACCTCCCATGGCTACTGCAAAGATAGAGACTCTCAAAGCAGGAAACTCAAAATGGCTCCAGGCCTACTTGGATTCCCTCAACCCTGAGACAGAATGGGAGGAGATTATCCGCACTCTCGCGAACTATACGCTCAACGAATTCGTTCTCAATATCAGTTACGTCAGCAATTTCATTCTCGTCATTCAAGAGCCTCTGGGAAGTGAGGCATTGGTCCATACCGAAAAGGTCTTCGACCGAAAACAGGAACGATTCGTGGACTCGGTGCGATATTTTACGCCTTGGTTCCTCGATGGCCCTAGTTCGGAGAGGGTCAGAAAATCTGTATCAAGTTTGAACAACACACACATGAGGCTTGCAAAGCGATTACCGGGGAGGTGGGACAATGACGACGATTTCATTATGCCCTGTGTGCAGATGGCCTTATTCGGACACAACATGAAGCAGAGATTGGGTCTCCCAGCTGATTCGCCACAAATGCAACTTGCCTGGAATCGTTGGTGTAAGGAGCTTTTCAATCTCTTTCTGAAGGAAAGTGGACCAGTGGCGGGATTCCCAGAGGACTTCCAAGGGATGGTTGAGTACGCAAATTGGTTCAACCACCGCCCATTCAAGTCAACAGAAAAGGGTCATCTAGCATCTAGCGCTTTGATTCAACAATTCTGTGAGCGGTGGTTTCCGAAGCCGCTACATTTTGTTGGCCATGAAATCATCATCACGTTTTTGCCTGACCGGACTGTGGAACGGCATCGCCTCGGGCCCCGCAAGAAATGGCTTGGTTTTTTTATTGTTCTGATGTTTCGCTTTATGTTCTGGCTGCAGTCCGTCTTACCGGACCCTAAGCAACCCAGCTATCCACACCTGGATAGTCAATCTGTGAATCGGATCACGAAAATGAAAATGGCATTGACCGCTGTCATGAGCATAGCAACCATTGGTACAATAGTTTGTGCTTACGTGGTTATGAGCCATTATTCTCACTACACATCAGTTACTTCAACTTCATTGCCTGGCGTTAGTAGCTGATGTCAGTGATTCGTTTACCGTTTCGCAAAGAAGGACATGATCATCTCACACTCTCCTCTCACTGGTTTAGCCAAGCCATAAAGCCATTTATTAGTCGCTAGGACTTTCGCCCTTCATGATAGCCAATCACAAACACAGATCCTAGTACGGCATATTTCCATCTTTAATCCTAGAAAATAGTCACAATTTGATCACATTTTCCTTGCTGTGGCGAGGTGTCAAAGAACTTGATGCTAACGGCTTCGTTTGATATCCAGTGCTCATGTCACATGTCAATATTTTAAAGATTATACGAACATTAAAAAAACTATGCACGGAATTGGCCCGACTGTAATTCACAAGTACTTGTAGTTGGTTCTAATGCAAGACAAAAGGCGGTTGAGCAAGAATGAAGTCATCTCATCTTTCATCACCCGTAGGTAATACACAGATCTGAGGCATAGGCCCTACATCTATCGCGGTATATCATATTTAATGTATTCCTGTACTTACACACTCATATTGGCTAAGTCACTCGTTGAAGTACCGAGAGTGGGTGAAGCACTCACACCCTCAATGATCAAGTCTCAGGAATCAGTAGAGTCTATATTGGTAGATTCAAACAAAAGAAAAAGTGTACCCTGTTACGTGCTGACAGTCGGATGTGGCTAATCTCACAACGGCGTGGAGAATAGGATGCAGGACACTACTCCAGCCCCTACGACTGCAATCCAGGCTATTATAAAATCTCTGGCTAGATGATGGGCGAAGAGCAGATAGCTTCTGCTGGTGCAAAGCATTGATGCATCAATGAGCTGTGAAATATCTTAACCTAGAAGATTACAGAAGAGGTCGGTTACAGGGGCTTACTCATGAATTAGTAGCATCCAGCTTATCGGAGTAATAGAAAATCCAGTATACATGAGAGCCTCATAGGCTAGGGGCGCATAACAGAAAAGGAATGCAGACGACATAACGTTGAGAACATCACTAGCAAGACATTTGTGGCTTTAGGGTATTTTCACGAAATACGCTCTCCATTGGCTGACCACTTTCTAGCTACTCATCAGACAAGGGGGACTGCCAATACGTGATACGCATATGCGAGAACCGGCCCCCAGCCAAGGTATATGCCGCCATGAACCGAAAACGCACCTTTTCATCCTTCTTGAATGGGTAGAAAAAATGATCAGGTGTATCCTCATGGCTAACGAAGTGCCCGTCAAGTTCAGCTAGTACAGTCTCTCCAGCCTGTGCCCAGGAAATAATGTGGAGCGATTCACTGATTCCAACATGGGCTGCCTCCAATTGCTTAATGACTGCTTCACGTCCCTTCACTTGATTCTTCCCGTCTTCCAGAACCACATCTTCAGTGAAAAACCGTAGGGCCGTGGCTCGCTCGGCATTTGCGGTGTTATAAGACTCAATGTAGGCCGAGTAGTCCATGATTTTGTCTTGTTTCAGTCTAGGATGATGTGGGTAAACGGACGTAAGGCTGTCTAGTATTTATAATAGGTCTTTATATCAGCAAGCTTTACCCAGAAATGACAAAAGAGGAACCCTAATACCTTGTAAGATCTTAATGTGTTGAAACTTTGTTCGGACACAATAAGATGGCTACCTACGTGATGGTGGGTGCTTATATACAAGAACAAAGGCTAGCTCTGCTGCGTTGTTACGCCGCCATCGGCATCATCGCCAATGCAAAGGTGCTAAGGTGGCGGCTAATCTAATCTTTCTGAATTGGCGGGGCCCCACCCCATGCCATCTTTCGTTCAATTATGTCGTGGCTAGTCGTTGCCGCGGCATAGTAAGCTGATCGGGCGAAAGAGGTCTTGGATGGGGACCTAATTGATTGAAGAAACAACGAATATCATGGGCAGTTAAAATACCCCATAGATAGCCGGTACACGGTGTTACGCAACCGTAACAGCAAATATACCAAATTCCTATCTAATGAGTCGTGGGATATCCGTACATGCCAGTTAGTACTGAGGAACCTCTAGAACTGAGAGGTGGTATTTTTCAAGATTCTCTGTGTCTTTGTATGGTAAACGGAGTCTCTTGGGATAGGAACGGGTTTCAAAGTCTGATCATGCTGCAACAGCGAGATCCAGCTAACAACAATACACCAATGAATCTCAATGGGACATCTCAATACTAGCATGTACCAGCATTCTACAATCCGACAAAACGAGGTGATTAAAGGACTATGCCGGAAATTGCCGTTGAGAGCGTCTCATAGCCCGAAAGGCTCGTATTAGCGTGTGCCGACACGGGTGTTCCGAGGTGACCCCGGTTTACCACTAGAAGAGCATATGACTAACTAGGGGAGTCGGAGACCGTCGCTGAATCAACCAGTTCTTAGTGGTAAAATACACCCCTCTCATGGCTCTATTCAAAAAATTCACTCAATTCAACCCCTGTCCAGGCGTCAAGTCACCGCCTCGTTTCTCGCATAAACTCCGATGGGGCGCCACGTCATTTCTTGACCCATTTGAGTGAGTGAGATGGTGGGAGAGTAGAGAGATGGTATGCGATATATTCAGAGGTGACACTGCAATCCATTGTTAGACTCTATAAATTAGCATTTAAGCTTTAGTCGCAATTTGCGCTTGTAAGAGGCAAGTTGCATAGGGCTACTAAAGGTTGAGTCCGCTGAAACAGTCGCCTGCAGGCTGCAGGGTGAGGTCCCGACCTCATACCAGAGAGTTGTGATCACAACAACACGCCTGTAAGAAAAAAAAATCAGTACGAGAGGGGAAGGTCTTGGAGAAGAAGCTCTGAAGATAGAAAGTAATACCTTGTATTGAACTAACTGGCTTGACTGACTCTAAGGAAAAGAGGAGAAAGGAACAGAGAGAGCTATCTAACCTATAGTCTTGGGATATGGGGTCACGTGTGATCACTCACCCCAACAGAAGGACATGTCAGCGGTTCAGGGGCACGCAGGATATTCAGGTGTAGAATAGTGATATTCAGGGCATTCAGGTGAATGAGCTGAAGGGACTAAAGAGTAGCCGTGGGCGGCAAGAGGGACCTACTAAAGGCATGAAAAGAAAAAAAAAAAAAAAAAAAAAAAAAAAAAAAAACGAAAACATACAACAGCATGTCCTCGCCGCTCTATTCAGGGGACTTAGGGCGGATGTTCACCCACCTGAATGTTCTTCACCCCAATATTGAGCACGTATAGTAAAAGGCACATTTCCAATAATAACGATTAAAAAAGGCTACAAGTGGCCGTCGTTTCCCCTCAGATTTTATCACTCTAATCTTGCTTTGTCACGAGTGGTATACTATTAATTATAACCCAACTTCGAAATATATAGCTAATATCACAGATTTCGGGGTAATGAGTCCTGCGACCGTGAATGCGGGCGTATAGCTTCGAGTACGGAACCGAGAATTCTTGCGCCAGTAGAGCAATCGTTGGGTTGTTTCACACATGATAGTAGGCTTGGATAGCCTTTGGAATCTCATCTTCTGGATTCTGCTCCTTTTTTTGGCACCATTTAATGCAAAAATGGGTATGAACTCGATGCAAAATGAAAATTTTTGTTCATTGGTACAGATCCATACATTTTCCAGGTATTGGGGTGGTATGCCCGCTAGGTTGTAGTTTCTATTTTTACCCACACAAAAGTCCGGTAGTCGTAGGGGTTGTCCTGCGGCGATTTTAGGTGCGGGGTCTATTTCCATTCCCAACGTCCCCCCGGAAAGAGATTTCGACATTTGGCACAAATGAATTCCACTGAGTATGCAAATCGGTGGAATTTGGCAAAGCATTTACACATAAATTTCCTGGGTCCAGTGCAGTCTAATGGATGGCCAAGCGCTCACGAGAGGTTGTTCTCGGATGTGCAGAAGCTAGGCAGGCGAAGGTTTCATGAATTTATGGAAAGTATTACTATAGATACCCTTGAAAAGCCCTGGAGAAATGCCACTCGGAACCGTGCTGTGCGTCTTTCGAAGCTAGCCGAGGAATGTATGAGGGGGCAACGGAATGAGAGCACATGGAGATTCACTATCGAAAATGAAATTATGCATCGGTTCTCAGTAGAGGTGGCTTGGTGAGGAAAACCCCCCAGAGTCTCGTTTCTGATTCAGTGTACATATCTAATTAATTCTCAGTACCCAATGCCGCAAAAGACTTTGGGAGTCCGAGATTCCTGCAGCAACGGACATCGTTAACACGCAGACGGAGTCACTGGAAGCTCGACGTCGTAAACGTAAGCCATGCCAATGTCTAAGGGGTTGGGGGCAGAATCAGTATGTGCTGGCATCTTCTTAGATTGTTGTTTCTGGTTACTGACGCCGATAATAGAGATGATGTTGGTATCAATATGCTCTTCTCAAACCGGGCCGAGGCAGCAATAAAACATTATCCTGCGTTAGAGATTGCTGCCCAACCAGGAAGACTGAAGAAGTATGAAGCCCCCGATCGTGTCTATGGGCTCAAACAGACCGATAACTTCAAAATACTACTGGATTCCACCGACTCGCGAAGCCTGATGACCTCCACCAGGCGAACACTACGTGAAACAATAGAATACAGCCCATTCGGTCCCGAGGGCGAGCCATTACTATACCCATTTCTCATCATGGAAGCGAAGCCGAGCAATAGCGCAGGTCGAGCAGAGGTAGACATGCAAACGGCATTCTGCATAAAACGGCTTTTGAAACTGCAGTATGATCTACGAGCGGCGACAGGAGATGACACGCAATGGTCTACGGGTCCCCTCGTGTGGTTCTTGAATTGGAGAGGGGAGAGTTGGGATATCTCTGCGGGGTTCCCTGAGACACAGCCGGATATCAATGTAAACCCAGAGATATACTACGTAAGCGATTCTCATTACCCGGACACTTGGGGGTCAATTACTGCGGACTAAGATATTCTAGACTATTGTTGATTTGTGGCATGGTGATATTTGTGGCTTGAATGGGTCTTTGCAGCTTCTACTAATTGTCGACTATATTTTCGATTGGGCACGCGACGTCTATCGCCCGGCAATATTGGGCGAGTTGGATGTCTTGGCAACAGGCGATATCACTGCACCCGACCCGGACGTCTTTTCTACGATGTCTAGGAGAATATCAAGCTGGGTGAATGCGTCAACTGATATTCAAGCAACCCAGGCGTCATCTTGTGGCGAATCTCCAGATTTGAATTACTTGAATATTGTTTGTCAGGAAGGCGTTATTCGAGATGCCTCGGTGATTGAATCGCGGTATCTTGGCCTACAAATCACCGAAAATGACGTCGATACATTCTTGCTCTCATTCCCATCTGCTAAGGAGGCAAACGTTTGGCTTTCTGATACCCTGAAATGCCTTTCTGGATCATGGAGGGTAAATGCGGAGACCATTGATACATTAGAAAACTTCTGGACTATGGAGCCTCGGCCGACTCGCGAGAACTTCAGGCGTGACGAGGTTTTTTATCTCAATATTGCTATTCACATGTTTGTATCTGAAATGTGGGAGCCAATCCGACAACTCACTTGCTTTTCTATCACCGAAAGTGCCTTGCGCATTATCTTCTACCGACTTGGGCATGTTGATGTTCCTGATTTCACGCAACACCCGCAAGTGGGGAAAAACGCCATCGAAACTCTTCTTGGTCGTATAATGAAACAATCTATTATGGAAAACCTGACTGCAGTTGTCTCTATGCTCTGCATGACAAGCAGCTTCCACAGGAAAAGCAGCAGGAGTCAATGCAAGGTGATAGTGACGAGATCCAGTGGAGTAGAAGCTGGATTTCGAGTGGAAAAGTCATCTCAACTCATAAGGTCTGTGGTCTCTGTCTATGAATCTCACAAGATTGGACAACGAGAGCCACAGGACGATTATCTACGTTTTTCACGTCTTCAATGCCAACAGTTTATTCAACAGAGAGAAGCAGAGATTGCCATATGGCCACATCTTCCCCCTCTGGGCCTTGATCAGAAAAAGAAGGGAGTTTTAGTCGACGGCTGGTATCAGAGTGAAGAATACCCAAAGCATTGCCTTTACATTGTCAATGGATCCGATGATCTTGGAGATCTACCTGATCTGCTTGATAGAATGTCAAGGGATGCGCCATATTTCAAGACAATACAACTACGCTCTGGTCAGTGGAACGAAGACAAACTTTGCCATATGAACAGCCCAGTGAAGCCAAAAGGAAAGTGGAGCTCAAAGAGGGACTCACGTTCTTTTGCTCGATGGATACAGCTTCTAGAAACTGAGCAAACGCAGCGAAATCATCGACCGGGGGACAGACCGTCATCGCCCATGGTCCTCTCATCAGATGAAGAAATCGGAATTTGAAGAGTCCGATAGGCCCAGTCCTTATACATCCTATTTTCTGAGCAGTTTTGATACTCCGGGTCGAGTGCGACAATGGGATAGAATGGCAGTAGCAACGCTTACAAAAAATCTCTTGTTCTTCTTTTAAATTTCAAGGATACACCGGGCCAACTTGCAACTTATTTAATCATCTTACCTCCTTGGTTATTATTATATACTCTTATACTCTATAACGAAGAAAATCAGATCGGGAGGAAGAGTCAGGAAAATGCACAGGTTAGATATTAGCACAAGAGAAGTATACTCGTATCTCAGATCCTAGGATATTGCTTAGATACACTCTACAGATAAACGACTTATGAAAAGCCAAAGTACCACAGGCAAAAAAAAAAAATGAAAGGGAAAAATCAAACCAAGGACAAAGGACATAGGAGGTAGGTAGGATTGACAGTCAGAATAAAAACAAAGCAAATCTAATCATGCTGAGAACAGGATCCTGGTGCTCATGCTACACCTGGTCGAAACGATGCCGCAATGCAAATCTGGGCAGACCCTCGGACTTCTTGGCCTGCAGGATACCTCAATGAGACCTCCAGGTTACGACCAGTAAGGCGTGCGATAATATCGTACCAGACTACATAATATCTGTTCCCCGCATTTTCCTTCAGCTGCAATGGGTACTGGTCCATCAACCCTGTCAGATCTACCACGATCAGGGCAGCAGATTGAGAAACTAACTGAAGTAAGCCAATGATCAAAACTAGACAATGTAATGAGTGAAGGTCCCCGTAATAGACATACCTCCTCTATTCATCTCGTGCTCTAACTGATAGTGGTCCTTGATATCGTTCTTTTCTGAATTAAAGAGTCTTTGCCTGATTTCCAGATCTTGGCCTTCTTCGATAATCTGGAAATACGTTTCCATGAAAGTTTCGTCAAATTCCACCTCGCGACCCTTTCCTAGGTCAATATGGAAGGGCGAGAAAATATGGACAAGGCTCTTACCTTTTTGATAATCCAATTCAAACAGTTGTCAATGTAGTACTTTTCGTCGCATGGGTTAAAGTAGGGAACAATGTTTCGGTGCGCCACAAGCTTTCTGTTTTGTGGCTCAATTTGTAGGATACCAATATTTGCAAGGATGTTACGGCGAGGTCCGTTGCTTTTGTCTATCGCACGGTAAACAGCTCCACCAGAGACAATTGCTTCCCATCCGCTGCAAAAATCCCTCAAGTTAGTATTCATGTTGGCAAAGAGTATTGGTAAGCTGACCTGTCTTTTGGATAGCTCAATTGAAGGAGGCCTTGAAACCTTTCCCCCATGAAATGTCGGAATGTGTTGGACTGCGAGTAACCACCCACAAAGATGACTTTCTATGAAAGGGTAAAATTTTATTAACTTGTTTCCCAGTCAGGCTACAGAAAGTAGCTTACCTGTAATAACAGCTTCTTCTCTGCGGAGATATCAAGCTGTTCTTGGATTAAGCGCGCAATATCGTTCAGGCTTGGTTGAAACCATTGCTCCACCCCACTCCTATAACAAAGTCGTCAATCAGTAACCCAGGGACAATATGATTGAATAGATCAAATGGGATGTAGAACCTATGGATCTTAATCATGTTGCTTTCAAAGCTAATCGCGCCCTCAGATCCGGCTTGTAGATTTGGCTCTAATCCGTGGAAGTCGAGATATTCGTACCCGTCTAAGCCGCGACTAGAATCGAAATTACGCTTCAGCTCTTCCTCAAACTTTCGAAAAACATTGTGGAAAAGTTGATATTCGGTTGAAATTCCCTTCGCGGAGAGGACTGCGTCAGATTCTGAGTCAGAATTGAAGCGATCTTGGAGGTCCTTCTCCATGGCCCGGTTGACACAAGTGGAACCACAATTTGCACCTATTCCAAGCTTCAGCTGAAATACGTTGAATAAAGTATATGGCCCTTACCGGTTGGGACAGTTGCCTCATCCAGGCGAAGTGGGTTTTGTTCCTTTACGGTATATGTGGTGAAATCCTTTTGGAAAAATTAGTCGTAATTGGTATTGTACTCCCTTATTTATCTTACCACTGTGCCTCCTCCAGCATCGCACACCAAGAATGTTTCCCCTTTCTTTGGAGGTGAATGGTTAGTTTGTTTATAACTGATACGACAGGACTGAAAAATCCGCATACCTGTAACCGCTTGGTACCGATCATCACGTCAAGCGCAAAGGCTGCAGCTGCCTCGGGCTCATTAATTATGAACAAGTCTAGCGCTTCAGATGGCTGACATAGTGAAGCTCTCACTGCGGCTGCTCTCACTATTTCTTGCATGGACCAAGAGGTTCGCATGGCCCATCCGGCGGGAGTAGCCAGGGAGAATTCCACTGGGCTTGTCTCCCGAAATGTTTCGTGATCTTTCAAATGCTCTTTGGTATAACAAAAGACTTCAAATAAATAGTCCGTAATAACATCTTCTACCGTTTTCCCCAAATGTCTGAGCGTCTCTTTCACCTCGCCCAATGCATCATTCCTTCCCAAATCTGGACCAGGATTTTCCAGAATGAGTTTAGTGAGTCTGATCAGCCTGTTGGAGGCATTTAAAGATGCTCCAGTCGAGTGCGCATGCTTCAAGTGCCTGCGTGCTTCATAGCCCCAATGGTATTCATTACTCCCCAGGTAGAATATCTCACTTGGAACCTCACCTCTACTCTGATCCCGACCTGACCCTGGCCAATGAGTGATGGACTTGATTGCATTCCGACCCACGTTGAGTGGACGTTTCCCAGACTTGAGCTTGTAGTATGAAACTGATGTCATGGTTGTTCCGAAATCGAGGCCAATTATAAACCTTGGTCCGGGGCTCATTTTGTCACCCGCGCTCGCAGTTTTCGTGGGGATCGAAGACCGAGGGCTGACCATGTCACGTCCCGACGTAGTCGGCGCGACTAGACCTTCATTCGTGTCATTGATTTGTCGAGCCTGTCTTTTCCTCTGGGCTATATCCTGAGACAGGATTCGCTTGGGAGCCATTTTGGCGAGTTGTAGAGTGGCCGTTATGGAAGGACGTGAGGAAAATGCGACCAAGAGCACAGCAGCCTTCAACGAATATCCTCTCATCGGGCAGATTGCAAGGCGTTCTGACGAATTTCACGCTAGCAGGGTTCTAGTTTCACCAATAACGCAAGTTGACTGCGCCACCTTGTTGGCCCCCAACACTCCCTTTCATCCTCATCGGGGGCGAAAAAGAAATAAACCCCTTCCCTATTCCTAAATAACTTGCAACCATGCCCATTGCTTGACCTTAAACAAATCATATTATCAAGAAGTCCGATTGTCCTACTGGGGCGGATGATTTACCACGTCGCCCTCACGGTCGCAGTCCATCTATCAGCAACTCAGGGCTTGCTCCCACAGTGCATATTTTTCAATATGAATCGTCAGCCACCATGTACACGTTCCTCATCGAGGGGAAACTCAGCCGGCTCGTATAGTAAATGGGGGAAATGGCACTGGGATACCAGCCCAGTGCCACCGCCACGAACTGAAGATCATGATCTCGCCCTCATCTTGACCAACAAGCGAAGTCGAACTAAACCCACGCGGTTTCCGGAGCCTGAGATCTATGGTGGCGAAAGGAATGACCCCCTCCACGACCAGGAAACACCTAAGAGCCGAAAAAGGCGGAATTTGGCGGTAGAGGTAGGGGGCGCTTACCGATATAGATGGCCCAGGTGAGGGCACGTTTCGAAGATCAAATCCGCTGATTCTAATTTGAAGATCGAGCCACCCATTCGCAAAAAGGCAGATTTGGTCTGTGAAGCAGCCACCTTCACATCAAATCGAAAGGATACCAATGACAACACTGGTAGTTTAGTACCGGCTATCGAAAGCATTCCTTCAAAGGGCGATGACGAGCCATCATGTGAAGTAAAGCTTCTCAAGCATCAGATTGGTCTCTTAGCCACGCGGCACAGCCACATGTTAAAAAGTTTGGAAGACCAACTTTTAATCTTGAAGGATGAAAACTCAAAGCTTTACGGATATTTGGAATGGTACCGTAAACAGGAAAACGCCAAAGCAAATTACCCCGTTGGGGATATGGACAGCGTTAAAGAATTGAACGCGGAGCTTGAGCGAAAAGACAGCGAAATTGGGGAGAAGATTAAACAGAATGAGTGTCTCACAGAACAACTGAACTCGATGGAGGGATTAAACAGCATCTTGAAAGACTTCAAATCTGGCCACATTATGTCTACAAGATTTTCGGAGGAGATGATTAAACTTGAAACGAATACGTGCAGAGCTGCCCGCGTCCTTGTGCAATGTTTGTCTGGCCCTAATATAGCGGGATTAGGGATGTCGACCAGAGGAAAGACGAAGCTTGACTCTCTAGTCGAAGGTACATTTGGTACAATGGATCTACTCTCAACGTACCCCAAATTGGCAATGTGTGCCCTTATTTCTCGATTTCTTCGAGATCAGGTGTTTCATGCAGGCTGCTGGGAGGCTCTTGCTCGAGAGGGATACATGTTGAGGGGCTATCAAGAGATCATTCAAAAAAGCTGTGAGTTTTTAATGGCCACGTCAGACTTCATTACCCCAACCTAATAAAATAAAGTTGCCCAGGGTACCATTGAAGGCTTTCATAGAGCTGCCATTGAGGTGATGTTGGAACGGAACCACCAGTTTCGCGATTGCTGGGTTCAATCCCAAGTGGAAAACGCCCAATGCAAATTTCTCAGTCTTTGCAATTCATTGCTCGATGAGAGCAAAGTAAAAGATGCAGAAAAGGACATAAAAGAGGCTTTGAACCGTCTTCTGACAGACGCATTCTATTTCCGCGCCCGTTGCATACCCCCTAATGGCAGTCACTACGAAATGGTACACTTCGAGCCAGGAGATGTATTCGATTCAAATTTTATGGAGGCACGGGGAGTAGATGGCACCCCTGTTTCCGTTTCTGACGGGAAAATCCATCTGATCAGGCTTTGTGTTCATGGGTGTCTAGTTACTCATGCAATTGAGGTGAATTCGATTGGCGCTGGCTCTCTCAACATGCTCGGCCAAGCCTTTATCTCCACTATGGATGAAGGTATTAGTACTACAGGAGGGGGAATTTTGAAAAGTGAAAAAGCCATTATATTATTAGGTGATGATCTCGAGCACAAGCTGTGATATCCTCAACGCACAGAGTACTCCTCATATTTCCATTTAATTGATCAATCTTCAGAGCTAGCCAAAGCCCCTGGTGAGATTGGTGGGGGAATATTGCATCGTTGAACGACATATTAATTACTTCAATTTACATTATTATTTACACAAAATGACTCCAGTGTCAAGGATTTCAATGACCGCTTCTGCATTAGGTTCCTGACGCAAAGATTCAACCACCCTCATGCAGGCTTGCCAATAGCCGGTCAAGAAGTCTGGAAATGACAGGGAGAGATTTTCCAATGTTTGGATGAATTAAGCCAAAAGGTCTTCAACATCCAGTATCGAAGAGGGGATTTCCGAATGAATCAAACAAAAGACACAAGCAAAAACATACAACAGTGAGGATTCGCTGGTGGTCACCCACCCAACTACTAACTCACCGGCGTGTGGCTTAAGTACGGCTGAGCGGACGGGAAGCCCTGTTTTCCACACCCTATGGTCGTATGTACCCGTACAAATGTGCGGGAGGATTATAAGGTATAGATAACTTGGTTGTGGTAGGGCTGGGAAGATTAAAATAAGAGCGCGATAACTACACGTAGGGTGATGATTCCAGAAGCTGGGCGGAATTGGGCAGCAGGCGATCGTCGGTGATATTCGTCACATGACTGGTGAGCCTCCACCTGGGAATGTCCCAACATGCTCTCTTATTGTATCAGGTGGAAGATCCTGACTAAGGTATTCTTGGGTTCATTTACAAAACCCTACCATAGCCTTCACGCATGATGATTACACGGTCCCATGGATATGTGCTTTGCCACTACAAATGGCAGCGGCAAAGCTTATGTTGTAGAGAGTGCATCCTGCATTATGCCAGCCACAAACCGACCATAACGCCTATATACTTGAGAGTGTTAATGGTCACCATGTTTTTATTGCCCGTCTTCCCACAGGTGTCTATGGAATTACATATGCGTCGATTTTGCTTAACCAAATGCTGCAGACCTTCCCCTCTCTCGAGTTTGGACTTATGGTAGACATCGGGGGTGGTGTGTCGAGTAGAAAGACTGATATCCGCCTTGGAGATGTAGTTGCTAGTACACCGACTTCTGCTTCTACCTTTGGGGGTGTCATCCAATGCGACTATGGAAAGACACTTTATGGTTGATCTTTTTAGAGAACTGGGTCACTCAACAAGCCTCCCCGATATTTGTTCACCGATACTCAGATTGAGGACACAGTATCAGATGTACTTCAAAAACACGAGAAGAACGACTTCCTCTTTAAGCCAACCTACAACCATTTTAGAAGTGAAGATACGGACTGCTTAGCATGCGATCAGGCACAGTTATACGTTTGTAACCCGCGAGATCCTAGGAAGCCAATGATCCGTCATGGTCTAATTGCTTCTAGGAATCAAGTTATGAAAGACCCCAAGACAAGAGATGCTCTGGCACAGGAAATGCATATCTTCTGTTTCTAAATGGAAGCTGCTGGGCTGATGGATAAGTTGCCGTGTCTTGTTATCCGGGGAATTTGCGACTATTGCGACTCGCATAAAAGCAAACGATAGCAGGGATACGCTGCTCTTACTGCAGTAGTTTACACAAAAACGCTTCTTGGCGTGCTTCCCGGATACAATGATGCCAGTAATTCTAGAAAGTAGCCAACCCACCGCATAGCCCCTTCCCCAAGTGATCTTGAGTGCATCAAGGGGATTAAGCAACCCTCTGTCCATCCCCTCGACACGTATCAAAATATTGGCAAACGAAGGGTTCCAGGCACTGGGGACTGGGTCCGAAATGAGCTGTTATTCCACACGTAGGTTGAAACAGATGATACCCCATTGCTGTGGGTGTCAGATTGTCCAGGATGTGGCAAAAGCTTCATCGCGCAGAACGTCATCTCTTATGTTCAAGAACTTTCTCCTCAACGCGCCATTCGGGCAAATTACACTTCAATTGGGTATTTCTTTTTTCAAGCACACCGATTCCGAGACAAGGAAGTTCCACCGTGCATTGCGGGATATCGCGTTCCAAATATATCAGAACGATCCTTCCTACAGGGATTATATCAACGCCGACTGTCATTCACCCGATGACATTAAATCCCTTTACGCTGCATGGATAGTTTTGTTTATGGATTATTATCTCAATCCCCTCGCAAACGTTAGTGGTAGTGTGATAATTGTTCTTGGCGGTGTGGATGAAGCTTTTGAAGAGAACCGTCGGGGGTTTTTAAGGCTAGCCTCGGACTTCCTACACCGTGAGTACCAGAATACCAGATTCTGCCACTAGAGAACATACTGTAACATCTCGACCTAATTAGATCCTATCGAGCCTCCGATCAAAGCTGTTCTGCTTGGGAGGCCAGAAATATACGACGACCTGATGGAAGCTTTGGATCTACCGATTTCAACTATTCATATTAATGCCAACAGGAACATCGAGGATATCACGACCTTTGTTCGGAAAGGCATCCCCAAGTCCCGGTCAATAAGTCGGTTTCCGAAACTACAGTGCCTGTCGATTGAAAATACCTTAATAGAAAAGGCCAAGGGCATGTTCCTCTGGGCCGACCTGATGTTGACCGAGCTTAATGAGAGAACCAGGGTTAGCACCATGCTTGAAAGCCTTCACAAAGCACTCAAGGGATTCGATATGATGCTGAAGCATGTCCTGGAGACACTCAGTAGCAGGCTGAACGAGGAGGAGGCAACCGATCCTAGGGTGGGTGGCATGTTCAGATAGACCGTTGAGCTTGAATGTGCTAGGCGAGATACTAGCAGTGGAGTTGCAAACCAACTATAGGAAACTGGGATTGGAGGACGCATTGCGTATACGGTATACTTCGCTTTTTGTGCTCAACTGGGAGGACGGTTTGACGATAGCAGACTTAGTCAGTGGGAAAAGAAACAGCTTTGCTCAACCTCGAGATGACGGATCGGTTGAGAATTTTCAGTCTTCCAGCGAGCAGGAACAGGAACAGCAATTCAATTCCGATGATTTTACAACCCAAGTCGTCTTCTCCCACGCTTCAATTCGAGACTACCTTCGCAACCCAAGCTATGGAAAAGTAGCTGCAGGAGATGAGTCGACACCTGTTGGCGTTGACGTCGTACAGATGAGCGTGAAAGCTTTGAATTTTTGTCTATCAGAAATAGCTAATGGGAATGGTCCCTTCCCGCCGTCCTCCCTGCATAACTACGCCATCCACGAGTGGGTGAGCCATCTAAACCATGTTTGCAAATATTTAGACAAAATCGATCAACAGCAGAAGCAAGAAACAATTGTCTTACTTTGCCGGATCTCAGGGTATTCGAATCTAAAAGAAATGTTTAACACTGGCGCTGCTCCATGTCCCGTTACCTTGTTCATAAATCGTCAGACTATCGACTTGATTGTCTCTCTTCTAGCTGATCAGGAGTGTGCCAATATGATCGATGACATTGAAACGCAGGAATGGATACGTGTCTGCATTCAAGAGCCTGGTCAGCTATTCGTCCGTTAGGTCGTGAAGTGGCTAGCAGGTGGCTCATGGACTCCTGGCATCCAGAGTTCTGCATGGTCATGGTTTGGGCTATCGTTATTATTCTCAGTGGAGGCAACCCACGCCATTTGCTAGCACCCCCAACTGCATCTGTTGACACTGTACTGGAAGTTGCTATGTGGGCACAATTCGAGGAAATCACGCGCTGGAATCACCACGTCGAGGCTTGTCTCATTGATCTAGGGCATGACGATACCCTTCTTCGAATAATTAAATCCTCGGGATACGGATATTACAAAGCTAAAAAAGACTATTTCTAAAACTGGAGTATACTGCACTACGTCTTACTTGGGCTTTAGAGCGACGAAATTAGAGATAGGATAATGAGAAGAAGATTATCTGGTCGGATAAATATTCTATTAAAATTGGTAAAGGGAAGCGCCACTAATAGGTCTTTTTTATTAACCACCGTAATAAAAAATGGAAAAAAGATCATATTATAATATACTTAAAGTCGAATAATATCTCCATAATGATCTAGGGAGCAATGTTCGGTGGTGGTCATGGGAGAATGGAATTGAAACTATGATACAGCCGCCGCATTCGCCTGATTTAAACCCTATTGAATATATATGGGCTAAGCTCAAAGAAATGATTGATCGCCTAGATCCGGACCTTGACAAATTTGAAGGTACCAAAGAGGAGCTAATTTATTATTTCTAAGAGTTAGTTCATGTGGGATAGGCGATGCTAGGACAGGATTACTCTGATGGGTTGATTTCTAGCATAGGGCACAGGGTTGAAGCTGTAATTGATGTAAATGGATGGTATACCAAACATTAAAAATCGATTAAATACTTTGTTCAATTGCCTATATAATGTAAATTTTTACATATTTTTACTATATAAAACGGGGATATGGTAATTAATTAAAGTTAGTATGGTGGTTTTGCTGAAGTTGCGTAAGTGAGATATATATTTGACGGGGTGGCCGTACGCAGACTTTTGCAATAGAACTGTAGGAGCTGCAGATCTTGGCGCGCGAACTCCCATGCAGGTCTGACGTGGCAAAATTCGACGTGGCAAAATTATATAATGCTGAATACATTTAGCTCATAACCTGGCGACGGTAGTGAAGTTTTAAGAAATTTCAACCTCCCCTTTTTGGTATTACCAGTTTTCCTCTATACAAGCGATCTTGTCTGTGCCTCTGAGAGACTGTTCTTTACTTTGGATCGAACCAGCGCTGCGATCAACCGGAACCGACTGCGAGTGGTCAATATACATCTTGGCTTTCGGTAGCCCAAAAACCTAGTCCAATCCTCTCGTAATGGCTGGGCAGATGGATACCGAACTTAGAAATCACAAGGATTACACTGTGGGATGGGTATGTGCTCTGCCAAAAGAGCAGACTGCGGCGACAGCCATGCTAGATCGAAGACACCCCGGGCTCCCGAAGCCGCGGAATGATCCCAATACTTATACCCTTGGATCTGTTGGCAACCATAACGTTGTGATAGCTTGTCTCCCAAAAGGGCAGATTGGCAACAATTCGGCAGCGAACGTTGCTGCCTGGATGATCTCAACTTTTCCGTCCATCAAATTTGGCCTGATGGTGGGTATCGGCGGCGGTGTTCCACCTAAGGTGAGACTTGGTGATGTAGTGGTCAGCACACCAGTGGGCCAGTTCCCTGGTGTGGTTCAATGGGATTTTGGCAAGGCGAAAGAAGGCGGCGGCTTCGAACGGACCGGGTCGCTGAACAATCCGCCCACGTCTCTGCTCACGGCCCTCACAGCGTTGGAGACGGAGCATGACTTGGTTGGCTCTAAAATACCAGAGTACTTGGAGGAAATGAGGGAGAAGTGGCCGAGACTTGTACCGAAGTACCTGCCGTCTGATTTGCAGGATATATTATTCAAAGCAGATTATAAACATGCAAGCAGGCATGCCTCGAATCTCGATGATCCTTCCGATTTTGATGATATAGATGAGGATGAAGGAGAGAGCTGCCGACTCTGCGATGAAACACAGGTTGTGAGGAGAAAACCGAGAGATATGTCTGTACACTTTGGTTTGATCGCGTCTGGAAACCAGGTCATCAAGGATGCTGTGTTGCGAAACAAACTCAACAAAGATCTTGGTGGTAATCTCCTTTGCATCGAAATGGAAGCGGCGGGGCTGATGAATAACTTCCCGTGTATCATCATCCGAGGAATCTGCGACTATGCGGACTCACACAAGAACAAAGATTGGCAGGAATACGCTGCAGCAACAGCTGCAGCATTTGCAAAGGAATTTCTAACATTCTTGCAACCGAGCGATGTTGAGGGAGAGCGGCCAGTGAAAGAACTACTTGGACAGAGTTAGTCAACCTTGAGACCTTCTGCTGGGTTTTGATAGCCTTCTAATAACATGGATATAGTTCTTGACGCTGTATCTCAGTCCGGGGAAAATATTAAAAAGATCAATAGCCATTTCGTTCGAACAAAAGGAAGACCTGCATATACTTAATTGGATTACGCCAATCAATTATGGCCCTCAACAAAGCGATTTCTTAGGAAGAAGAGAACGCGGAACTGGCCAGTGGGTTCTGGAGTCGACCCAATTCGAGACATGGAAGGCGACCAAGAAGCAGACAATGTTTTGTCCCGGAATGCCCGGAGCTGGCAAAACTATCATCAGCTCGATTGTGATCGACCATCTCGACCAGGAGTTTCAAGCAGACCCAACAATTGGCATCGCTTATATCTACTGCAACTTCAAGTGGCAGGACAATCAGAAGATCAATGATTTGCTGGCAGCATTACTAAAGCAACTGGCTGGGCGGTGCCAGCCTCTACCAAATAGAGTCAGAGAACTCTACAAACATCATAAAGCCAGAACAACGCGGCCATCAACCGAAGAAATTTCTCAAGTTCTCCAGACCGTAGCAGCCACATTTTCAAAACTCTTCATCATCGTTGATGCACTTGACGAATGCCAGACATCTAGCCGGCCACATTTTATATCGGAGCTTTTCAACCTTCAGACACGGCACAGCGCGAATATCTTTGTGACATCGCGATTCATATTAGAAATTATCCATCAATTCGAAGGCGCCCTATCTCTCGAGATCCGCGCGACTGATGAGGACGTGCGGAAATACCTGGAAAGCCATATGGGACATCTACGACCTTGTGTTCTTGAGAGTCACCAACTGCAGGAGGAGATTAAAGCTGCTATCTCCGATGCAGTTGATGGAATGTTTCTGTTGGCTCAAATTTATCTTGGTTTCCTCGATGACAAACTGACCATAAATGATATCCGGAGGTCATTGAAAAGCTTTCATAAGCAAGACCGAGGGTCAAGTGAAGACGAGAAGACTGAGATATTGAGCCATGCCTATGACCAAGTCATGGAGAGAATTAATCAGCAGCGGCCGGGTTTGAAACAACTAGCAGTGAAGGTTTTGTCATGGATCACCCATGCTAAGCGGCTTCTTAGTATACGAGAACTTCAGTATGCCCTTGCAATAAAGAAGGGAAAGTTCCAGCTTGACGAGGGAGACCTGCCACATATGGGAGATATGGTATCAGTCTGCTTGGGATTGGTCACCATCGACGATGAAAGTACCATTATACGTTTGGTGCATCACACCACACAAGAGTATTTTATGCGATCTCGGGAGGACTGGTTTTCCAATGCCCACACCGAAATTGCAGAATCCTGCGTCACCTGCTTGTCATTTGACGTTTTTGAAGCTGGATACTGCGCATCGCATGATAGCTTGCGTGCAAGATTGGGAACCACTGTTCTTTATGGCTATGCCGCGAAGAACTGGGGACACCATGCCAGATGCTCCCTGAATGAGGACGAGGGGTTGATAATGAACCTTCTTCAGAACACCTCCAAAGTATCTGCCTGTAGCCAAGCTATGGTATATGACGGAAGTTGGTATGGTTTCGATAACACTATAACTAAGATGACAGGTTTGCACCTTGTAGCATACTTTGGAATTGGAAAGTTCACTTCGAAGATGCTTGAGAGGAATGCTGCTGTTGATCCTTTGGATAGTTATAGTCGAACTCCGCTCTCATGGGCGGCTGAGAATGGGCACGATGGAGTAGTGAAGCTACTACTTGAAAGGAATTCTGCCGTCGATTCTCTGGATAAATCTGGTCGAACTCCGCTTTTATTAGCGGCTAGGACTGGTCGCGATGCAGTGGTAAAGCTACTACTTGAGAAATGTCTCGTCGATCCTCTGGATAAATCTGACCGAACTCCGCTCTCATGGGCAGCCGAGAATGGGTACGATATAGTGGTGAAGCTACTACTTGAGAGAAATGCCGTTATCGATTCTCTAGATACATCTGACCGAACTCCACTCTCGTGGGCGGCCGAGAATGGGCACGATGTAGTAGTGAAGCTACTACTTGAGAAGGATGCTATTAACGATTTTCTGGATAGATATAGCCAAACTCCACTCTCGCGGGCGGCTAAGAATGGGCATGATGCAGTGGTGAGGCTATTGCTTAAGAGGAATGCTGTCGTCGATTCTGCGGATAAATCTGGCCGGACTTTGCTCTCATGGGCGGCTGAGAATGGTCGCGACGCAGTGGTGAGGCTATTACTTGAGAGAAATGCCGCTGTCGATTCCCTGGATATATCTAAGCGGACTCCACTTTCATGGGCGGCTGAGAATGGGAATGATATAGTGGTGAAGCTACTACTTGAGAGGAATGCCGCTTTCGATTCTCTGGATAAATCTAGGCGAAGTCCGCTCTCATGGGCGGCTGGGAGTGGTCACGATGCAGTGGTGAAGCTATTACTTGAGAGAAATGCCGCTATCGATTCTCTAGATATATATGACCGCACTCCACTCTTCTGGGCGGCTAAGAATGGGCATGATGTGGTGGTGAAGCTACTACTTGAGAGGAATGCCTCTTTCGATTTTCTGGACACATATGGCCGGAGTCCGCTCTCATGGGCGGCTGGGAGTGGTCGCGATGCAGTGGTAAAGCTGCTTCTTGAGAGAAATGTCGTTGTCGATTCTCTAGGAAAAACTGGCCGAACTCCACTTGTGTGGGCAGCTGAGAATGGGCACGATGTAGTGGTGAAACTATTACTTGAAAAAAATGCCGTCGTTAATTTTCTGTATAGCCAAAGTCCGCTCTCACTAGCGGCCAAAAATGGGCATGATATGGTAGTGAAGCTACTACTTGATGGGAATGCCGTCGTCAACTCTCTGGATATTTCTGGTCGAACTCCGCTCTCATGGGCGACTGAGAATGGGCACGACCTAGTGGTGAAGCTATTGCTTGAGAGGAATGCTGTCGTCGATTGCATGGATAAATCTGGCTGAGCTCCGTCCGCATAGGCCAAGAATGGGCACGATGTCGTGGTGAAGCTATGCAAGATCATGGCAGATATTCCGACGCCACATAAGAACCCCCAGCCTTCGACTTCTCCTTAAACACCTACACCGGTGTGAGCGTACGAATGTTAATATTTTTGATACGGCAGCACAAAAGCCAGAGGAGACGGCCTTTGCAAAGGTCAGCTGCACGAGGATCACGCTGTTATTCATCCGCCATCCCAACAAGCCCTGTTTAGGTTCTTCGTAACCTCAGGGCTCGTGGACTTATAAAAATGCGTTTTCAGCACAATGCCAACACTGAATTCACGGAAAGCATGTTCTCTGTGATGGATGGTTGCCAGGCTGTTGAAACTTTGCGATCCAAGCGATGCCAAACTTCTGATCTAGTGGCATTCCTAGTTGCAGTTGCTTATATTCCTCACTTTTATATTCTGGTCGTCAGTTGACAGCGTGTCTGCGAGAATAAGACATCTCTATTCGTAAGCGCAAGCCTACAAGTAAACACTTTCTACGATATTTTCACTTCCTACATCGCTATCGATAACCCCCGGGGCCTCATAATAGTTACTATACTTAGGTGGATGGATAGATAGACGACGTCATTCACCTCTGAGCCCATTTTAGGCCTCAAGCTTACAGGAACTGCAAGATCGCCAAGTCACATGCATTTCCGAACCTAGCATCCCCCGACTTTACATCCAAAATCTTTTTACCAGCTCAATGATCGGAGCGGTGAGCAAAGGTGAGCAGATAGAGTCGTTGCGCTTCCCCCTCTGTAGGCGACCCTCTACCGCTCCCCACCTACAAAAGCTATCCTCCTTCTAGACCACTCTTCACAATATGGCATTAAGATCTCTTGCGAAATGAAAATTTTGTTTGTTTTGCTTTGCTTGCAGTATAAACATTCTAGTAGTATCAGTGTTACTGATTGGACACTGAGTATCACTGAAAAATCAGGGAGCATTCAATAACCACCCACTAAGCACTCACTGAGCATTAGTCATTCTGCACGGGACTGAACTGGGTATGATCACTGATCGTGCTAACATCTACTCAGTGAGCCTGAGCCTGAGAACTGTCATAAAAGGGTCGGCAGATCAAATAGGGAAGCCCCACATGCCAGGGAAATCCGGAACGTCTAGTTACATATGTAAAAGGCGGGTGATGGAAATACTTCTTGTGGAATTTCTTTTGCACGAGCCAACCGGGGCTCTAGATTTAGGTCCTTCGACACTACATGGTTGATAGAAAATCAGAGTTCCTACTCGGACTCGATATGTTCCTGATGCAGGGATATAAGCCGAAATCAATATGAACCGAAGAAATGCATCACATGCCTGTTAGCCATATATCAAATATACAGGAGTCCTATTATAATATAATCCTCCCGCACATTTATAATGATACATACGACCATAGGGTGTGGAAAACAGGGCTTCCCGTCCGCTCAGCCGTACTTAAGCCACACGCCGGTGAGTTAGTAGTTGGGTGGGTGACCACCAGCGAATCCTCACTGTTGTATGTTTTTGATTTTTTGCTATAGCTGCTAACTAGCTACTTGGGGATGATGGAGGAAGAATCCTTGCGTATTCAATCTAGGCAGAGCAGGGTATTTATTTGCACCCTGAATATAACAAACAAGCGCTCCGGATGCAAGCAAACAAACAACGGGAGGTGGGATCATCTTACCAATTTTCACCCTTTTTACGTATAGATAAAGAGACAGACATATAAGGATAACTGCTCTAGAATTACTGTGTTATTTTTAAGTATGCAGGTATCTTCAAATGGAAGTTGTATGCAAGATTAACTTGACCATATCCACTTCTGTACCTCTTTATATCCCACCTTAGCCTAGGTGGTGGCGCCGTGGCTCCATTACTGCTCATATGCATGATCCCTCTTGAACCTGTAGATCACACTAATCTGGTGGTCCATCCAGCAGCCAAGAACATCGTCTTGTTGGGTTCCGGATACTTGTCAGACCATCGTTTGACGCTACAGAAATTCTGCCGTTGCATCAGGGAAGACCAGATTCCTTATAGCCACCTATGTGGAAGAAATTTGATTGGCGAATAGGAGTTTGAATGAATGGTTAGAATGAGAAGAATCTAGAGAACCACAGTGAACGAACGTGATCAATGGTAGAGTTTGCTCTTTCGCCTCCTTCAAATACGTGCTCACTTTTTATGCGGGGCGAATGAGTTTTGCCTCTCACCGCCACGAAGGCCCTATATCTCCTCAGATGCCCCGCATCTTTTAATTCTCTTCATCAACACCTCGTGACTCTCCCTTTCTTTCAAAATGTCTAAGATCTACGTCGGGTATGTCAAAAACCATCTAATCTTCATGCTGATGTGACACTTGATACTGACGATCCCAGAAACCTTTCATGGCACACCAGCGACGAGTCGCTGCGCGCGGCCTTCGGTGAGTTCGGCAACATTGTCGACTCTGTACGTGAAAAATCCAAAAACTCATAATTTTCGCTTGGAGCAAAAACACTAATATTTTCATCTCTTCTAGATCGTCATGGTTGACCGTGAGACTGGTCGCTCCCGTGGATTCGGTTTCGTCACCTACTCTTCCGCTGAGGAGGCCGAGGCCGCCATCAACGCTCTTAACGAGCAGGAGTATGTTTCCAATCCCCTCTCCCCTATCGAACACTATAAAAAGACAATGAGCTAACCTTAATCTAGCCTCGATGGTCGTCGCATCCGTGTCAACCTCGCCAATGCCCGCCCCAGCGGTGGCTTCAACGGCGGTGGCGGTGCCGGTGGTGGCCGCTGGTAAATGTGATCAGTGACCCCGAAAAAGTGCGCGATGGTTATGCAGAACGAGAAAAACGTGATACCTTGACGCTTAGCGTTGGTGACGGTGCTTTGTGCGCCCCTGAGAAATCAGTCACAAGGCAGTTACTAGAGTTACTTATGAGTAGATAGTATTTCCCCTCGGTGTTTCATATACCTCAAAGGACATTTGGAATTTCATTTCGGAGCCGATCGATTCGTGCACTGATTTACACACCATTTTTGCTTTTTTTTTCTTCTGTAAATTTCTTAAAAGATTCTTGTGCCCAACTTTATGCAAGGCTACCATGAGGCTGGATTTGTAGTCAACTATTGGTCGCAATGTAGCAGCTTGTACATGATATCACAAGTGGGTGTCATAGTGTAGCAAATGTAAACAGAACAGGACCACACAATGTTGCGTGTCCTTGCAAATTGCAAAATACGATTTTTTTACTCCGCTCTGAAAATTTCAGTGAAAATTTCGTTCGGCAATGGCATGTTGATATCATTGACTTCCTTTGAAGGTTTTCCACCCAACTAAACACTTCGCTGTTTGGTATATGAGCTCTTCTTGATAGCCAGTGTATAACTAGTACATTCCAACGTAAAATCGCACTCAAATGAGGCCACGTTATGGCAAAAAAAAAAAAAAAAAAAAAAAAAAAGGATTTTTGTGGCATTCTAACATGATGGTTCAAACCCCTCTGGCGAGAACTCTTTCTCCTAAGCCTCTTCTACAAGTTTCAGCCTCATATAAACATAGAATCAAGCCCTGTTACACTGACTAAAAATAGTATCTTGAACATTGTCGACGTCATTGGCCAATTGCTCCCAAAAATGATGCCCCGCGGCTCAGCCACCTGGACCCACCGCCACATCTTGCATGTTCACTTTATCAACAACACCTTCAATCCTACACAGCACACACATCACAATATATCACAACATATCAATCTGAAAATATGGCACCCCATGAAGGCCTCGTCCACCCAAAAGAATATGACATCAAAGACAGCAACGTCGAGCTAATCGGCAGCGACCTCGACCACCGCGTGAAGTACAACTCCGCCCTCACCGAACCCGCCTGGAAAAACGTCGGCCAAGCACCAGGCCTCACAATCTGGCGCATCGAAAACTTCCAAGTAATCCCCTGGCCGAAAGAAAAGACCGGCCAGTTCTACGACGGAGACAGCTTCATCGTGCTACACACCTACAAAGTTGGCGACGACAAGCTCGGCCATGATATCTTCTTCTGGCTCGGCAGCAAGACAACCCAGGATGAAGCAGGTGTTGCTGCATACAAGACTGTCGAGTTGGATGAGTTCCTGCAAGGCGCTGCAACACAACACCGCGAGGTGCAACAACACCCTTCCGACGAGTTCCTTGCTTTGTTCCGGAACTACTCGATCCGGTCTGGAGGTGTACGCTCTGGATTCACGCATGTTGAGCCCGAGGAGCGTATGGAGGTTACCACGCTCCTACGTGTCTTCAAACATCCTGGTATTGCCCGTGTTGACTCGCTGATTGTGCATGAGGTCGAGCCTACGTGGAAGAGTCTCGATGAGAACGATGTCTTTGTTTTGGATAAGGGGGATAAGATCTGGGTTTGGCAGGGGAAGAAGTGTAGCCCGATGGAGAAGGCTAAGGCGGCGCAGGTGGTTAATGATATGACGCTGGCGAAGCACGTCGATGTTGAGGTTCTATCACAACTTGAGTCTAGGTCGAGGATATTTGTTGACTTGCTTGGCGGGAAGGAGACCGCTCCTACTACGCTGGAGGCGCCTAGACCTGGGCGGTTTGCGAAGAGGGGTGCTGATGAAAGTACCCGCTCGCGCAAGCTTTTCAGACTCAGTGATGCGTCTGGAAACTTGTCGTTTGATCTGGTTAAGGATGGCGGACGGGTTGATCGGTCTGACTTGGATGGGAACGATGTTTTCCTTTATGATACCGGCAACAGACTCTGGGTTTGGCAGGGGGCTGGAGCTAGTGCCAGTGAGAAGGCCATGTGGCTCAAGGTTGCTCAATTCTATGTTCGGAAGATTCAGGAGAGTCAGGAATCTTCTGAGGCGTACCTCACGCCCATTTCGAAGGTTGCGCAAGGCCATGAGAGCCCTGCATTCTTGAAGGCTTTGGAGGTTTGAACTTGTATATATAGCATTACTGCGATATTTAAATGAAATAATTGATCATCATCTTCCAATTCATCTGTGTTCCACCTTTGAGTCTAAAATCTATATTTATTATCTCAAATCAGACTATAATCATTCTGCCCCTTGTCCAAAGCATCAGCTTGTTTCCGCAGCACATCAGCCCGGAATCTCCTGAAAGCAGTTTCAATTCTCTTCTTGCTCTCCGGGTCCGCGTTGATACTCCTCGTCCCTTTCGCCACGCCACCAGCAAAGCCTACACAACACAATTCCGTTAGCACGATTTTCCTAACACCCAACTATGCCAAAATCAAAAATAGCCTTACCGAGCTCTCCACCCAAAAACAACCCACCAGCCGTAGCAAAGAAATAGGTCGCGATATCGCCCAAAGTAGTAGGCTTCAACAGTGGCGTGAGGTCCGGGATAGACTCTAAACACAAAGATTAGCCACACTATTCCTTTTTTCAACCTGCAACATTCCAAGTGACAAACATACCAGTCCTCCCATCCTCAAAAATAACCTTCGTAGGCTTCTCCTGCGCACGAACAGCAGAGAAGAACGCCTTGCGCGTACTACGCAGCCGGATGGCGGTTAGAAGACCGAGACTAACACCGACCGCAGATCCAACTGTTGTCCATAGAGAAATCGAAGATGCAGCTGCATTGAGCTTGTCGCGGTCTCCGGATTGGAGGTCGTGTTGGAGGTGCTCGTCGGCGAGTTTAGCTAACTCATCGGAGCGGCGTTTGCGGAGGATGGCGAAGGATTCGGACATTTTGGGTTTGGTGGATTCAAGGAAGGGAATTGTTTTTTTGGAGTTGTAAAAGGAAATTTTGAAGAGGACTTAAGAGTGTAACAGCTTGAAATAAATCAGGTCTTGGAGCTTCCAACCTTGGAAGCTTGGAGCTCAGGTGGTGACGTCATAGTGTCCCAGATCGGAAACCAGCTTGGAAGTTCGACTTTGGAGAAAACAGAGAACGTCGAAGATCGTAGGATTCCCTTCTGTACTTCTGTCGCCCATCTACCCTGTCGCGTCAGTGTTCACATTTGGAGGCCCCTGCCTCCTCGGGTTGACTAATTGCCGTCACTCACATTTGAGGTCGCTTTCAGTCTCAAGGCGGAATATATACAATTGGATTATGTTGAAAATGTTAGAACGATCCTCGACTATTGCAATTGTAGGCTTTTTGGCCAAATGGGAAACTCCAACAGATTCCATATCCGACTATGCCCACATTATATCTGGACCTATTTGATCTAGACGTGAAATTTATACGAGAATGGCTACAAGTTTAACCAACCAGAACCAATTCCCTAGCTGACGTCAGATTCAGCCTCAGCCCTCGATATAAATGCTTCTCCAACCCCCTTAAGCAAGCCTCCGATCAAAAGCACTCCAAGAAAAGCCCCCCCCCGAAGGAAAGCACTCAAGATGGTCCGCTTCCTCAGCGATAACCGCATAGCCCCAACGCCCACTTCCAACCCGGAACAAAAACAAGACCTCCTCGTAATCGGCGCTGGGCTTCCCCGCACAGCAACATCCTCCCTCCAAGCCGCCCTAGAAGAACTAAACCTAACCCCATGTCTCCACATGGCCCAAATAATCCCCCATACATCTCGCCAAGAACTCCTCATCGCAGCTACACATACTAAAGATACCGCAACACGCCAAAAACAAATACAAACCCTGATCGCCGGCTACGCCGCGGTGTGCGATATGCCAGCTATATTCTTCCTCTCTGATCTAATGGACATGTACCCGGATGCACGGGTGATCCTGACAACGCGTCCTAATGCGGAGACATGGGCAGAGAGTTGTCGCGAGAGTCTTGGATTCTTTTTTACGAGGTGGTTTGCTGTTCTGGGGGTGCTTTGGGGCACGGAGAGACTGTGGTTTAAGCTTAATATGAGGATTTTGGAGTGGTGTAGGGAAAAGTTTGGGGCTGGGGAGGATATATTTTCTGCGGGGTTCTATGAGAGGTATAATGAGTTTGCCCGGGGGGTTGTTAGGGAGCGTGGTGGGCAGGTTTTGGAGTTTAAGGCTGAGGATGGGTGGGGGCCGCTTTGTGATTTTCTGGGCAGGGAGGTTCCGGGGTCGGTGTTTCCGAGGGTTAATGAGAGGAAGACTTTTGTTTTTATTAAATGGGTTTTAGTTTTGAAGGGGGTTGTTAGTTGGGGGGTTCTTTGGGGGTTAAGTTGGTTGGCGTGGAGGTATCTTGGTATGTAACCTTTATGTTTGACTGTTGTGGTTTGGGATGGATGGTTTGATAAATTTTAAATTGTTTTTCATTATATTTTTAATGTTTTGTTCCACGGTTCCTATATTCATACATAGGAGAAACCAATGCACACTAGGTAAGGTTAGTATTGCGCAAGGCATATAGTGGGAAGCAAAAGGGAAACGTACTCATTATCATCTGGAATGTAACGGTCCAGAGATGCCACTGGTGGGATAAAGACGAGCCGTTATTACTCTTACTCTTTAATGTAGGCTGAGGCGGAGCCGTATATGCAGGCAGACTCGGATCAGCGGTGCTGTCGTCAAGTTCCTTTTCACGGACCTTGCTAAAAGCAGTATTATTCTTCGCGGTGGACGTTGGCGCCTTGAGAAGGCCTTCTTTCTCAGCTTGTTGAATGGCTGCCCACCATACTGAGGCCATTTCCTCGTATCCAAGGGCTGTTGGATGAATCTCATCGACGAGTTGCTTCCACTGAATGAATGTGCTCATATCAGCTAGGACGAGGCTTTCATTTCGCGCTCGGCGTTTCGCTGCAATTTCTAAATATTGCGTGCTGATATCTGTGCCCAGTTGGGGCTTCTTTCCGTTGAATGTGAGGGTTGAGAGGATGATGGTTGTGTTGGGAATATTGTCGAAGAGGTATGTTAGGAGAGAATCCATCCGCTTGCCTGCGGTGTCTACTTTGTAATTTTGCAGCGCATCATTTGTGCCAGCACTGTAAGGGATATATTAGCATGTGAAGAAGACATGTTAGTTTGCACTGGCAATTGGAGACCCACTTGATAAGGATTAGATTAGGTTGTTGTGGGATGATCTCCTTGACATGAGAAGCAATTTGATCAATTCTCCAGCCGATGTGTCCGTCATGATCCTAGGAAGAGTCAGGATATACATAATTTTTGAAAATGAAACGAAGGGCCAAAACCGGATAACTCACATTATCACGCATGGTACCACTCTTCATAGTGCCAATCATATCAACATCCCAGCCAGCATAGCGTAATTGCTGTCGAAGCCATTTCCGATATCCATTTCCATCTTTCGATTTGTACCCTCTAGTAATAGAAGCACCGAGCGGCAGAATCCGAAGGGGAAACGGCTTCGTGTCACGGGTTTGAAGCGCAGAGACGTCAGAATCTGAATCTAAAGGCACCAGAGTATCATGAGAAACGGTAGGTGATGCCGATACCAATGTCAGCCATATTAGACAAGCCTGGACAACCCAGAAAATGGGCGTCGACTGCCTCATGGTGACTGGTGACTGGTGACTGTGTGGAGGGAGCTTTGCGAAAACATCAAACCGGGAACCCCCATTTTCTTATATTTACCTTCCGAACAAATTTTAACGTCAGATCCGAGCGATCAGATGTGCTTTGTAAGGCTTTTGATTTGCCGGTTTTTTGTGTAAGCTAATTTAGGTCCACTGGGGGGTGGCTGGGCACCGGTGGATAACTCAGGGGGCGATCTTACCACCTGGGCATGTATCTAAGCCTCAGTCAATCCAAACCTGTTCAGTTTACCCCTGGCGATCTTTGTGACGAGTCTCTGTGATTTCTTTGTTTGTTAGAGTCAGGCTGACATTGAAATATATTAAAAGCTGTTGATTAGGTAAAGGCAACAAGACAAAATGATACAAGATAAGTTTTATTGAAGGCTGGTCGCGCAACAAGACTATTCCTGTTTGGGGTTAGTTCCAGAAGGCATCAACTTTCCCGAGACTTTTCCAGGGTCTTCCCAAGGTTTTCTCCCGCTTCCACGTTGTTGATTGGCATTCCACATTTTTCTAAATTTGCTTACATCCCAACCTGGTTTAACCTTATCGGTTATGCTTCTATTGCATGTCTAGAAGCGAGCACTTCCAAGGTTTACATCCTGGCTCGCATAATCCTTCTTGTGAATCAACACAAAGGACTCCGTACTCTGGACGGAATACTCAATTTGGTTCTCCGCTTGGGCGCCCGCGGAAATCGTCCTTGAGACACTAGGCATCGATCCATGGGACACATTGATTCAAGCGAAGTCCGGATATAGCGGATGCTTTGGTGACTCGGACGTTCTATCGGGTATTATTGCCGCCCAATGCTTTAGCGTGAGGCTATTCAACACCTAACTCTTATCATAGAGGGTAATATGCGCCCCATTACTTAGGCGAGGTGGGGGGAGGGGGGCTCGTTCTAAGACCCTTCGCCCCACGAAGAGGCATGGAGGCTCATACAAAGAAAGCGGGGGCCAATTTGTCGGCTTGAGGCAAAGGGGTCATGCGGAGCAGTGCCTGTGAAACACGATTCAATGAAATCAGCTATCTGACTTCTTTGGAAGCGGACGTTTCGACCGGATGCAGCGTTGAATGAATACAGGCTGACTAGCTTGACTAATTGGAAAGCCAAGACGCCGTGCGCCCGTTGCTAGGACAAGGTTACACCTACTAGATTCATATTCCGCACGTTGAGGTGAGCGAGGTACTCGAGCCTACAGTCACCCGGGGGTTATGGACACAGCCGTGATGAACTATCTTTAGATCAAAACAGTATAATTGCGGCCCTAACAAGGAAAGATCATCGTACGAAAATAGCTTCTCATTATCATGCGTGGGAAGCTTTAAAGAAGTGAAGAATTATGGAGTATAAAACCACAACACGGGCCATAGCGGAATCTCCGACCACAAAATTTCCCACAATTTTCAGCACATGATTGAGGCTCTTAAGAACTATGTGTTGGCAGTGCCATGGCCCCAATGCGGGCAATCGGGTGCATTATCCCTCGGACCCCGTGTGTTAGTGTAACTTAGTCGCATGACAATATACCCTGACAAAATAAAATTAAAAAAAAGAAGAGAAGAGGGAGTCCATGGGCAAGTGGCTCGGGAAGTGGCCAAGAAAACGGCGCAAACCCTTGGCAGTACTTTGGACGACTAGACACATATTGATCATCAGTGTTGGAAAGGAACGCTAGATCCCACAAAAGCTAGGCTTCCAGTGTAACCCGGATTTAGTAAGAAGCAAACTCTGTGGTGAGACAAGATTCATTTATCACAAAGCGAGTGGCGTGGAATAAATATCATATCCTCAATTTGGCATATATATTGTCATGAGAACACACCCAATGCGCCGGTGTTATCACCAACAATGTGATGTGTTCACAGCGGTTAGCCCTTGCATCATGGAATCCTGGACTTCACTTGAATAAGTTCCATCTGTGAAATTCCATATGGACATTGAGAGATGGTCCTTTTCGAATGATGAGCTTCTGGGTAGGTATGCGGGACGGACCGTGATAACCTCAAGGACCCATGGTGCCCCGCACAGGATTACCACATATATTCTTCGACGAAGTGCCGTACGGTATGGCCATATTGTACACCTTAGAATTAAGTTCTCTCCGCATATATCGTTCCCATGTGGCTCATACCCGAGAGCATCTTCATGATTTTATGGGGTTCTTCAACATCCCAGTTGGTACACAGGAAATGATACAGCCACTCTCCCAGCTGCCACACGAAACATACACTCCACCCTAATATGCGGTACCGCTTTCCTAATTAAAATTATGCCCATTACTTCTGGTCCTCCAAGTCTGGACCTGCACCTACGCAGTACTTCTGGTCTACATAGTGAGACGCCCGTACATCGTATGTATTGTTCACAAAAGATCCTCCATGTTCGCTTAGTCCTATATCACTTAACGTCATGTCTTGTTACTGCATTTCTGTTGGATGCCTGAGGCATCACCATGTGATAGAACCCATAGTAGATAGTACACCTGCTCTCTCTCCCCCTTTCTCTCTCCTCTCTCTGTCCAACTCAATACATACAGTCTTTTCTCTATGAGTACACTCGCACTGCATTAGGTTATGAGTCCTTTCTTTTGCTAGCTGGACCACTAGCAACTCTTTCTCTGAAGCCATTTTTATCTGGAGACTTTTGACGATCCGACCCTACTGTGGATCCACCTTGTGAGTGGTACACTCGGATCTAGCCAATAATATCTAGGAAATCCTTCGAGACCCCGCCGGCAAAAGCTCCGTTTAGCTTTACAACCCAATTATAGCCGACGTCGCGACCGGAAATGTGGGGGACACCAACCCGCAATTTCACGATATATCGGCAAACCCGATTGATCCTAATGAAGTCCTATCCTTGAACAATCCGATTCAATTCGTATAGGATGATAGTGATAGTGAGGATGAGGATAATAAGCCGTCCTATTAGGGATATGGTCTGCCAGCGATTGTAATGACTAAAATTTAGAAAGTTCGGATACTGGAGCACAATGATACCGACCCGAGTGGTTGGAAATAGGTATTAGCGTACTAGTTGATCCTATACGCCTTGGAATGGTTACTAGATAGTGACGTTCCTCGACCTCCAAAGTCGTATGCTTCATTCGAAAGATAGAAGTACTGGTCTCGCTTGGTTGTAAGCTGGATGTATAACCAAATCGATGTGATACTGTAAAATAAACTACGTAACTTGTTAAAGATGCCTAAGTATGCTGATTATCTGTACGATGAACTTACGGCTATGATATAGGGCAGTGACCGGATGTAAACGGCGTTCCTCGAGATGCGTAAGTTCGATAAGATGAAACGTTCGGACTATAACTCGGTAAGCGAGTATATCGAGGAATACTAGCGTTAGTACTATATACTTACTAGATTCAAAGCAGTACTATACCTAGTACACGGATTGTCACAAGTTCTCTAAAATCTTGAACTGGAAGTTAAGAAGGTCTAGTTTATTAGGGAGGAAGTTGTAAGTCTAGAACCTAAGAAACTTAACCTCGATAAGGTCGAGGAGTACTGGAGAGTACTATAAGTAACGGCAGATATGGAAGGTGTCACTAATACTACGTATAATAATAACAATGCCGGCCGAGGCTGAGGTAATAGAAGAGGTAGTCGTGGTAGTAACCGAGGTGGCCGAGGCGGTTATAACTAGACTTCGGCACAACCCACTCTAACCCGGACCCAACCCAACCCAACCCAACCCAAAATGGGTTTTGGGTCCATTGCTTCGACCCAACGATGGGTTTTGGGTTATAGCTCATAACCCAAAACCCATTGGGTAACCCATTGGGGCCCCAATATAGTGCAAACAAAACAAACCAAAAAATTATATGGTTGAAATTCAAAGATTTGAATATATATATATCTAGCATAGTAACTCAATTTCAAAACAAAAACAAATTTATATAAAAAGCATTTTATACTATTAAAAAAGTATATTTAAAAATGCCAAGACTTGGATTTTATGAATTTTATGAATTTTTATGCAAAAATGGGTTCAAATGGGTTATTATTGGGTTATTGGGTTTAACCCATTGGGTTTTGGGTCGGACACTCCGACCCAAAATGGGTTCTGCCGAAGTCTAGTTATAACAACGATTATAATAATAATAATACCTAACTAACCAGAGACATTAATACTATCGACGACGATACGGTAGCAACTACGAAGAAGAAGAAAAGGAAGCTTCGCAAGCAGCCTACCGATAGCAAAGATATTTATAAATACGCAAAAGAAATACGTAATGGCATATAAAAGGATAATAATACTATATACTTATTCTGCGGTTTTGGACTATATAATGTAAAGAGATATACCTACCTTAGCGACAACCTACTATTATTATAGGAGCTATTAGGTAACCTATAGGCCTATTTAAAGGCTATCTAGAAAGCCTAACGTTAAGACGGATAGAATAATATAGTCGTCGTAGCTGCCAATTCGGTTGATAGGAAGAACGATTGGTTGTTAGATACTAGTTCTAATAAGATATTAATATATAATCTCGAGGACTTTTATATGTACTAGCTAGATTACCCTAACACTGCCTATACGTATAAGGATTACTCTTAGACTGCGACATCGCCCGTCCATGGGCACTAGAAAGTGTCCACGGCCCGTGGGCCTTTTGAAATTCGACGCCCATCGCCCATCCTTATGCAAAAATAATGCAAAAATTACCCTATTCGGCGATTTTATGTACATAACTAGTTCTTGGCAGTACCCACCGTGCCAAGAGTGCCCGCATATGTCTTGGCGACGCTAAAAATGTCTCCACAAAAACGGGCGTTGTCGCAGTCTAATTACTCTAGTAATAGAGTCGTTATACTAGGCTATAGCGAAGTTATTGTAAGAACAGCCTTACTAGGACTAGATAGAAAGACGTACTTGTTTATGATAACTAGTTACTATACTCCTGGGGGATACGGTAAGCTGTTTGGTATGTAAAAGCTTCTCGAAGAGTAAGATATCTCTTATAATTAGACCTTGCCAACTCCCATGGGAGTGGTCCCATGGGAGTGCCAAGAATGGGACTAAGCAGTCCAGTCCGCTCCCATGGGACTTTGATGGGACTCCCATGGGACTGTAAACAGTGCAAACATGTAGAAAAATGTGACCTGCATAACTTATGAAGAATGCCACTGTTTTTTTGGGTATTTTAATTACTCAAAGAATAGAGATAATAATACTTTGGGCTTAGTATTAGGACAAAAATAGTAGATTTGCAGTGCTATATCTAGAGCGCAATTTCTGATAGACAGTAGAATTTGATATTTTAACAGCTGTTAAAAAATTCTATACTAATCTATCTCTATTATGTATAAGTATATAAATCATCATCTCTTCGTCGCTTGCGTTCTCTTTGGGGACGTTGTTGACTGAACGGAATCACTGGTAATTGGTGGCGTATAGAATGATCTGGCTCTGCCTCTTCTGTGGCGGTATCCATATTGTCTGGATTAACGTTATCGGCTTCATCGTCTACACTGTCTTCGCCATCTTCACCATTACTGATTGGCTCTGGCGTATAGTTAGGAAGTCCTGCCTCCCTTTGTTCGTCAATCTCTGTTCTTTCGTCTTGGTTAAGAACGGATTTAGGTTGAACAGTATCCTCAGTTTCTTCATCTCTAATATTAAACCTTGATAAACAACGGAGCATTATTAGATCTTAAATCGTCGATTTATTTAAAGAGCCCCGTCGGTAATAGCAAATATCGCGAGCAGTACTAAAGAGACGCTCAACACCTACGCCTATAGCTAGGATCGAAAATAGACTGCGCCAAAACCCGCAAACCCGCAAACCCGAAAAAACCCAACCCGCAAATGGGTCGGGTTTCGGGTCGACTTTCATAACCCGCAATGGGTTTCGGGTTTGTTTGGGTAACCCGCGCGGGTTTGCGGGTTACCCATGCGGGTTACTAAACAGTGCAAACATAGGAAGAGTCGTATCTACATAAATTATGCATTTCTTACCTGTATCTTGTTGTATTTCCTTTTCACCTCAAGGGGGTAAAAGCTCCTACAGCCCGCTCTAATTCCAATATACCACTACTATTTCTAACGGCTGTCAGAAATTACTTATGCGTGAAAAGCCACTTTGCCTATACTATTTCTGACCGCGGTCAGAGATAGTAGTAGTCTGAAGGGAGTTTTCAATGTATAGATAATTTCTGACCGCGGTTAGAGATAGCAGTAGTCTGAAGGGAGTTTTCAATGCATAGATAATTTCTGACCGCGGTCAGAAATAGCAGTAGTCGAAGGGTGCCTTAGACGTATAAACAAAACCGCCGTAGATTACTGTATTTTATTAGTATAAATCAGCATTTTTATACACTTCGCCATGGCTTAATTGGGAAAATTATGCAGCCGCGGGTTTTTGCGGGAACCCGCGCGGGTTACCCGCGCGGGTTGCGGGGCGGGTTGCGGGTTGGTCGAGTCTACCCATCGGGTTTGCGGGTTCGGGTTGCGGGTCGACTTCTCTTACCCATTCTCGGGTTTTGGCGCAGTCTAATCGAAAAGACGTCCCGTGCAAGTCCTGCGAGTGTCGGAAAGTTACGCGCATTCTCCCTCTAGAAATAGTATGGATTTGTTGCGCTCCATTCTATAGAGAGTTAGTAACGTAGTTCGTAAAATAGTAAAAGGATAGTATAAACTTACTAAGATTGAGATATCCCTTAAGTTCTTCTTTCTAACTAGTGGCTTTTGATAGTAGTAGGGGCGGTAGCTGATCCTCAGCGAGAAGGCTTGCCATTTCATCCTCTATATAATGTACCGAAGGTATCGCTGTGGGTAGTACTTCCCTTTCTGGCTGATATTTCGAATAGTCTTTAAGATGGCTATAAAGCGAAGACTTATATATATCATACTAAGAGGAAATAGTATTATTGAGCTGAACCTAACCTAACTATTCTGGGCCTTTAAAAAACTTAAGCTTATACTGGGGAGTAAGAATAGTACCTATAGCGTATAAGCTACTATAGGCTTCCTCTGTTAATTGGTAGTATACCGAAAGCTTTTCCCTTCCAGCTTTAAGAGCCGCTAGCATAGCCTTCTTCTAGGGTACCTTCTTACGACGAAGTCGGGCCTAGGATTGTTCAAAATGTATAAATAGCCGGTTATATACTATAAAAACATTGTGAATGGTTATTGTCTTAATCTTTAATAGACCGACCGTCCACTTATAGAAAGGCTTTGTGATACAGAGTAGGTAATCGATTTGGCGCTACTCCCCTTTACTAATGTAGAACTTAGGGCGCTAGTACTCTATACAATACCGCTGGAATATTGTCTGAAGGCGCTTAGTACGCTGGAGCATAAGATATATAGAATTCTACCGAGTACGGATATCTTAGATTAGAGCTAGCTTTATTCCGTCGCTCTGGAGATTCAGAAAGGCCTCCCATCGCTATAGGCTAGCATTGATGAATACAGCAAAAGCGCGAACCTATAATCATAATTAATATAAGATACCTTTATAGAGGTTAGATATATACCTTTACAAGTATATAAATAATTCCCTTCTATAGCTTTGCTTACTGAAGGATACTCCCATTTTCTTCTAACCATACGGTCGCGGTTTTATCATTCTTTAGATTGGCCTTTATCAAGCTAAGAAGATCTTTTAGACTCAGCTAAATCATATAGGCAAGGTATAGAACCCGTATAATCTCAGTAGAATCCGGGAGATCTATCTGTCGGATCGATTTATAAAGACTTTCAACTATAGTTTTGTTATTTAACGCATTATTAGTAGTAATTGCAATCACCCTATTAACGATCCTATAGTCAGAAAGAATACCGAGAAGAACCTCTGCTAAGTAAACGCCGGTATACTGGCCATAAACCGGCATAAAGCCTAGAAGTATCTTATAATATACCCAATCGATATCCACAAAATACCCTATGATCGCTATAAACGCTTATTAGAATAGTAAGGTCCAGCAGTTAAGAGCAATCGAGAGCTTTGCCCCAGTGGGGAGGTAGGAGAGTAGCTTTTACTGTTCTGCCTAGACAATCGATTAGAGTCGACGCCGCGCAGTTTTCAGTAAAAGAAGGCTTAAAGGTTATAGTAAAAGCTATACCTCTACTATAAGATCTTAGAATTCTTAGTACCGGAGGATTTGAAATAGAAGGCGAGAGTTTGCGATAAATTTTACCTAGACTCTCTCAAATCTTTGTAGATTAAAGGCCTTTCTGTAACGGGCCAGAGCCCGGCTTGGATCACGTGAGGCACGTGCCCATAACATACATAAACCCCCATCGCCAGTAGATAGTTACCTTTTCTCTAAGATTGATGTAAACAGCATGTTGGCCTAGCCTAATTGAATCAATAAAGCTTCAGCCCTTCACATACATCAATCTTCCGATTCTTATCGTTAAACCATCGGACCCCAACGGAAAAGCCCTAGAAGCGACAATCCCTAGGCATAGCAGAAGAATTACCCCTGAATCACCCCCGATTCAGCGACGAAGCACCAACAGAATACCAGTAACCATGGAACCTCAGGCTCAGCAGAGTACACCCCCACAGTGGGTGGAAGCTATAATGCAACAGATGATGAGGAATCAACAAGCCCATGGCGAAGCAATGGAGCAGTTCACTACCTCCCAACAGCGGATGGTGACTGCACAAGAGCAGCACGCGGCAACCCAGGAACGACTCTCCGCCGCACAAGGAGAGCGAATCCGCCGCCTCGAAGAGATGATAGCACAACAAGGCATCAGCAATCAAACCGATGAGATCACTAGCGAAACGGTCACGGAACAAGTACGAACCGCCACCGAAACACCGTCGAGTATCGGAGAGCCCTACCGCCGACCAAGAGCGAGACTCCCCGACCCAGTGTTATTCGCGGGAAGTGTAAATGACTGGCCTACATGGCGCATCACGATGGAAAACAAACTGGCAGTCGATGGCGAAGCTATTGGTGCCACACACGAACAATTTATGTACGTATTCTCCCGGCTAGAGAAGCTCGCCTGGAAGAACACCGGGACGTATGTGAAACACCGACGAAACGACGGCACCCCGGAAGAGCTCCTAGATTACCTAGAAAAGATCTATGGTGACCCAAACGCACAAGCACGGGCTGCCCGACGCCTTCACCAGATCAATCAATCTGAAGGTATGGCTTTCTCGAAATTCCTACCACGGCTAGAAAAGGAGTTCGCCGACGCTGGAGCACTAGAATGGCCCGACGAAGCTAAGCGACAGATCTTGCTCGGTTCCCTAAATCGAACTATGAGCAATTCGCTGATGAATCGTGGTATACCCGCCACCTTCCAAGGCTTAATCTCCCGTCTTCACGAAATTAGCACAGATATGGACGCGTTGAACATAAGTAAACCGCCCACTCGCCGCTCTACGAAATCTGTAGATGAAATGGATTGGACCCCGACGGTATCGGTAAACCGCGTCGATCCGCACGCGAATCACCGACGAATCAGTCGCGAACGCCACGAACGACCAAAGAGAGCACAATGGGTTAGTGAAGAAGAGATAAGCAGCCGCCGGGAAGAAGGCCGCTGCCTACGTTGTGGAAAGCCCGGCTGCTGGATTTCGGAGTGCCCGCTCTTACCAGCAAGACGCCCAGAGCAGAAAAACCGCGTGGCGGCAAGCAAGCCGAAAAGGAAGGAGGATCGCGACAGTAGCGAAAAGCCGCCGAAACATAAACGAACCGCCCGTATCAAGAAATCGCGAGCAGTAGTCGAGGAAGATACCGAACCTAGTTCGACAGAAGAGAGCGTACAGACCAATAGTGAGTCGGAAAACGAGTAGCTCCTGTTCTTAGCCGCGAGCAGGAGCGAAAGGGGGTCGAGAAACTAGACAGAAGCGAGGAACCACCGTTCCTAGTTGACGTTAGAGTGAATGGAATCCAGTTTGCAGAAGCACTAGTCGATCATGGCTGTCTAAGCTACGCAACAGTAAATGGAGCACTCGCTAAATCTCTCGACCTTCCGCGCATACAGATTCGTCCCCGACAGCTAGACGGAGTGGTAGCGAATCAGGGCCGAATCACCCACGTCACGTATTTCAATGCGGATATCCACGGCCACCAGAACGGTACGATCTTTGCGTATATCATTGAGGACCAGATAGACGAAATCATTCTTGGCCTCCCGTGGATCAAGGACGTCGATGGAATATACTCGCCGAACAAAGGATATATGGACATTTTCTCTAAAACCAGAGAGAAAACCAGATGCTGGAATCGAAAGAATAGGACCATCGGACCGGTCGGTACAAAAGCACTACGTGTTAACCGCGCTTCAGCCAAGTCGATTCGGCAGCTATTCGATAGCACCCCTCGACCGGATCGCCTACAGATTGGGAAAGTCACGCTAGACGATATCGACAAAGCACTACGACCTAAGAAGCATGTCGATTTGAAGGAAAAGCTACCGAAACGGTACTGGCAATGGCTGGATGTCTTTAGCCAACAGTTAGCTGATAAGCTACCACCACATCGACCTGGAATCGACCATAAGATACCACTGAATCGCGACCGAAATGGTAACGAAGAACACCCGCCTTACGGTCCACTATACGGAATGAATAAAGAGGAGCTTTTATACCTACGAAAAACGTTGACAGATCTACTGGATAAGAACTTCATCCGTGTTAGCAAGTCACCCGCAGCCGCCCCAGTACTCCTAGTGAGGAAACCGGGCGGGGGAGTTCGATTCTGTGTCGATTATAGGGGGTTAAACGACCTAAGCGTAAAAGATCGCTATCCACTACCCCTTATCCGAGAAACCCTACGGAATATGGCGAAAGCGAAGTGGTTTACGAAACTGGATATCATCGCAGCGTTTCACAAAGTACGGGTAGCACCAGGAGAGGAATGGAAGACAGCGTTTCGTACCCGATACGGCCTCTTTGAGTGGAATGTTACGCCTTTTGGCCTCACCGGAGCGCCAGCGACATTCCAACGGTTCATCAACCAAACCCTACAAGAGTACCTCGACGACTTTGTATCAGCGTATGTCGACGACATCATCATTTACTCTAGCGGTTCGATAGAGGATCACCGCCGAAAAGTACACGAAGTGCTACGGAAGCTTAAGGACGCGGGGTTGCAATGCGACATTGGAAAGTCGGAGTTCGAACAGAGCTCTGTTAAATACCTTGGATTCATTATCCGTGCAGGCGAGGGAATTCACGTGGACCCGAAGAAAGTGGAAGCAATACGTGCGTGGGAAGCCCCGAAATCAGTACGCGATGTGCGCGGATTCCTCGGATTCGCCAACTTCTATAGATCGTTTATACCCCGATTCGCTGCCTTATCGGCACCGTTGACCCGGCTCACGAAGAAGGACGTGGTGTTCCAATGGGATGAAGCTTGCCAGCAGTCCTTCACAGAACTTAAGGACCTCTTTATTAACGCCCCAATCCTAGCACACTTCGAAGAAGAAAGAGAGACGGTAGTAGAAACCGATGCATCCGGATGGGCTACGGGAGCTGTACTATCTCAACGACAAGACGACGGCCAGTTGGCCCCCTGTGCCTATATCTCGCAGAAATTGACCCCAGCAGAGTCGAACTACGAGATCCACGACAAGGAGTTGCTAGCGATCATACGCGCACTACGGGAATGGAGGCCTGAGTTGAAGATGGTCCCACGATTCACTATCGTAACAGACCATAAAAACCTACGATACTTCAACAAAGCGCAGCACCTTAGTGAACGGCAGATGAGATGGGCAGGCTTAATGGCAGAATTCGACTTCACGTTACACTATCGGCCTGGGAAGCT